TAAGATTATTCTGTTGATGCTATATGGCCATTTCACACAATATCCTTTGGAAATATTATTTAATGTTATATAATATTGTTGCGTTCGCCGAGTCGTTCGTTCTCACACACACGCTCACACTCCCGACACCTGCGGAAATGAGGAAACACTGCGGTTATTAAGGAGAACAAACTTAATGTTTATTAAAGGCTCGCGATACAGAGGAGCGTGTACCATGTCCGCACGGTCCAGCAGCTCGAGACAAAATCTCTCAGCTGTTTCCTAAAATCAATAAATCCATAAATCAACAAGCTCGTTGCTAAAGACATTTCGGAAAGACGGCTCGTCGCACGCTTCAGCTCGGACTCGAAGCATACCGGGCGGCATGCACGCAACAATATTACTATAGAATATTGTATTTAATGTTCTAAGATTATGCTTAGAATACTACTTAATATTAAATAATATCATGCGCTTATAGGGCAGATGAATAAAAAGTTAAGAAATAATCCTGGATACTCATTCTAAGAATAATATTTAGGCAAAAATTCCTGAGCATTGTTTTCTTATTAATTTAAGAACTCCTTCGAAAAAGATTTTCTTCTGTTTTTCCCCGATGTTCTCTCGCTTTTTTTCATATAGGTTTCTAACTCCATCTTTTACAGGTTTAAAACCTGACCAGTTGTCTGATCGTAGAAGATCTTCCAGAAAGAAATTCAGGCAGGTAGAAATATAAAACCAGTTCTAACTAGCTCCGTGGGATTAGAGGGGAAGGGGAGGGGCCCCACGGCGCAGCATACTCCATGCTCTCTTAAGCCCCTTGCAGAATGCCAGGCAACAGGCAATAGAAACAGGAAATAACCAAAAAATCGTTAATTACAACCTAAAAAATTTGAATCCTATAATTGGTTTGCAACAGGCAATAGGTACAGAATTTCCAACGTGACGGAAACTCTGTGTCTATTGCCTGTGTAACTGTTCATTCTGCATTTATACATGACTTCTGATTTATATTCCCTGTTCCTATTGCCTGTTGCCTGGCATTGTGCAAGAGACTTAAGTCTCTCCCCCACTTACTTTCTAACTCTACCTTCTCTACCCGGGAAAAAAAGATGATATATAATTATATATAAATATATATGATTATATATCATTATATATAATTATATATAATCATATATAATCATATATAAACATATATAATAAAATTGTACATATGTATGTAAATAGATATAATCATATATGACCATATATAGCCAATATATATTGAAAAAGAACCGCGGAGCCCGAGGAGTGTTCCCATGTTAGGATGATCCCAGATTCAGGTCCACTTTTAACATTTCTGTGAAACATCGTTCCAAGTATAGGGTCTTGTCAAATATGCCGGTAAGAAAAAGAGACGTAGAAGAAGAAAACGAGATGCGGTGGACGCATTTTGAAACAACTCTTCCGATACCTACTTATCTCGTGGCGATTACGCTGAACGGATTGGGCAACTGTGATTCTATTTAACGAAAGAATTTCCATATCGAGCAGACCGAACGTAAGAAAATATACAGCATTAGCTTACAAGGTTGTTAAAGAAGTTACATCGCTGTTGGAATCCAAATGGAAAAACATAAAAAAGATTCCGAAAATGGATTACGTTGCAATTCGCCCCACATTTTTGGGGCGACGGCATGTCGAATACTGGACTCACTTTATATAGGCAACATTTAACTTAATTAAGAAGTAATATTAAAACCCATTAAATAGCAATGTTATTTTTATTATTAAGTTTCGATACTCAAGTTTTACAAATTTTTACGCTTAGACGAATTTGCCTTTATTATGCTTTTATTTAAGACAACTCTGTTTTTTCTCTATATTTGCTTACAAAAATTATTAAAAATTTTTTTTTCTAATTATTAAAGACGAGAACTAGTTTATCTAACGATGAATTACATTTGTGCACATTTTCAAATTTAAATTACAATAAGTGTAATATAATTACATTATAATTACATGTACATATGTATTATAAGTGAATTATAATATACGTAATATAAATAAATCCCTTGTGAACGCTTATGAAAGGACTTCAAAATACTAAGATGAATCATGTTGCAATGTTTATGGAGGATATTCTTTGTATACTCAGGGACGATTCTGTTGCACGCCAAATAGAAGTGGTGCAATTAATAAAATATAATATAGCATATCAATTGTTTAGTACTATAGTCAATCCATCTTGGTGGTCTCACCTGTGGATAAACCAGGGTCTTAGCTTGTTAATCAGAATGGAGGCCATCGATGAGATTATTTTATAATTTTAGTTTTGGTTAATTATAGCTTTATCTATCGTGCTTATACGCATCTACAGAAAATACCGGTTAATATTATAATGATTCAATTCAAACAAATTCTTTTGCGAATTTTTTTTATTAAGATCAAAGTGCTGATTTTTTTTCAAATTTTTATTAAAATTGAAGTATTAACCCTTAACGGTCACACTATGGGGTCTACACTCCAGCGTTTTTTTGACTTCGAAAACGACCCAGTAAACCAATGGAAATGGGCCTTGTGCCGCTATTTACAGGTAGTTGGGACCTTCAAGTATCGATCCCCGTCGGTGGTATATTTTTCGGCCCGTTAGTTTTCTTTCGGCATTTTTTTTCTGCAAAAAATTGCACCTTCATACCTCAAAATCAACATACTTTTTGGAACGGCCGCATAAACTGCAATAATGAGTGAAAAGTGCATCTGAGGATGAAAAAACCGTTTGAAAAATTAAAATATCTTAAAAATTGAAAAAGTTACATTAGAGAGAGTTTTTGTGAAAAGTTACTTTTCCGACTTTTTTCTTCAACAATTTTTTCACATATTTTAAATTAATTTTTTGCAAATCAAACCTATACAGTCTTTTTAAGGAAGACTTAAACTACAACAGGATATTTTTTTTTCCTTAAGGTCACCTACAATTTTTTATACGCACGTGCAAACACGCTGGGGGTGTATTTCACCCAGTGTGACCGGTACGGGATTCTCGGGAAGTGTGACCGAAAAGGGTTAAAAAAAGATTGGTAAAAATACGTTTAAATAACAATAGTACAGAAAAGAATGTACAAGAATTTTTTCTTATTAATTTTAATGACATTAATTTTAATGTACAGTTTTATTGTACATTATGTTAGATACAGTTTACTATGTTTAACCCTTTGTTGCGCAATTTTTTTTTTTAAATATATTTTACTGAATTTTAGTAGATGGGTGTTTTTGGGATCGTTAATTTGAAATTTAAAAAGTCAAGATAACAGATTCAATATGACCATTAATTTTTAAAGAATTAACTATGGCTTATATAACTAACATTTTATACTTGAGATGGGTTTTTTCTATAATTGAGAATATATGTTTCAAGAACATAAAGATACCAAATGTATTACACAAACCCATTGGTTTGATTATGGAATGTGTAAAAACACGAAAGAACTGCAGAAAAGACAGGTGTTTCTCATATGTAAGTAACTATGCAACAAAGGGTTAAACTAAATAACGAAGCCATAAACAAAATTTTTGAAACTCTTGCTATACCAAGTACCGACTTGTACATGTTAGTACATATAGCTTTAAGCATTTTTTCCGAATATTATGAATTATATCAAATTTTCTTATCTTTAGATTTTCGTACATTTCGAAATAATGGATTTATTTATAGTTCAAAATCAGTACGAATCTTTTAAATTAAATTCTTACTTTGCTGAAGTTCAAGACCAAGTCGATAGCCCTTCTGAAATTAATTCACTCTTGTATTTGCCTCATCATTTTAAAGGTAAGACTACAAATAATTAAATAATCGTTCATAAATTTCTGGATGCTTATTATTAAAAAATAAAAGAGTATGAATTATGATAAATATTATCTGCAATTTACCAATATATTAATTTTGTTTTGATAGAATTTTGTTTCTGATTGAAAAACGTTCAATTCAAACTTGAAATTAATTTTTTTGGCTGCAGAGAACAAAACATAGACTCTTACGTCTATTGTAGTCATAGTTATGTATACGGTTTTCTCTGCCTTGCTTTACGTCTATGCCTACGATAGACGTAATCACGAATTTATGGATATGTTATATAATAAACTTATTTTAAATATATTTAATGTACTACTGTGTAATATAAATTGTAGCATCCTATTTACTGCTCATGTTGCAACATTTACTATCGCGTGACATATTTTAGAAGGGTGTCCAAATATATTTAGACAAACAGTAAGTAAAAATTGTAACATAATAATTCTGTACAACATAGAATCAAATGTAATAAGCATAACTGAAAATCCTAATAAAATGTTTTTTCCTTTTGCTTTTTATATTTCGATTTATCTTTCAATATTCTTATTTCGCTATCATATACTCTTTTTTTCTCTTCTTAGCAGACTGATTCTGTTTTTATTATTTTACACACAGTTTTTATTTGCAATTTCTTAAACAGAAACTTTCTCTTTCTTATTGCTGACAGATTCTTTGTATATTCAGACTATTATTATATTATTGTTTATTTCTTTTTTTTCTACTAAGTTGTTTTCTATTTCCTCTGCTTTTATTTTATCTTTTAATCTTTTTAACTAAACATTTCTTCTATTATATTCTCTATTTGTCTACCTTCAACTTTGTCTTTTCGTTTTTTTCTTATCTTCTCTTTTTAACTTTTTCTCTTATTATTCTTTTCTTATTACTAATATTTCTAAGCTTATCCCGTTATCCATAATGATTTTCTTGTTTTATGTTCCGTTCTTCTCCACCATAATCTTTTTCTCCAATCTCTAACATCCCTGTTTTGTTTTTTCTCTTTCTATTTTTCTCTTCTTCCCATTTGATCCCCTTCCTCAATTTCTCCATTTCTCCATTTCTCCGCTTTGTTTTTCAAGTTTTTTCTCCAAGCGTTATATCTGCATCTTCTAATCACTCATTTTCCTTTCTTTTTCTTTTTTTCCTCTTATCAATCTTATCAAAGATTTTTGCAGCCTCTTCAAAGACTAAAAAATTTTCTTCTCTTCTATTATTATACTTGTTTAATTATTTTAATAACTTTAAATTTTATAAACTTAGTGAGTTTAATTCGGCAACTTTCGACAATTTGTGGGACGCTATGCAAATTGCCTTAAACGAAAAGAATGTGATACGTGAGCCGCATGATCTAAAGGAAGTAATGAATAGTTGGACACAACAAAAGAATTATCCTGTAATAATTGCAACACTATATAATAGTGGATGGGTAAAAATATCGATGCCTAATTTCAATGAAACGGATCGCAGCTGGATACCTCTGACCTATACTACACAGTCGGTTTCCAATTTTAACGCTACGTCAATTACTGACACGTTGTGGCTAGGATGTAATCCAAAAACACCTACAGCTACTACGTTTGATAGTAACCCTGAAGTGGATAATTGGATAATTGTCAATTTACAACAATCTGGTGAATATTATATCGATAAACAATAATTATCTTTATTCTACGTTATATGTAACAACATTTATTCTATAATGAAGATTTTACTTTATATACATCTTATTAAATTTTTATATTTGCTATTTCTATAATATAAAATATCACATTATATGTGTGATATTTTAAACAATTTAAACACAGGATAATGTTCGTTTATGATAATATCAAATAGTGCAAAGAAAAACTATTCTACTCTCTATTATCATTGAATTGAACCCAAATTCTTACATGTAATGTAATTATTATTTATTTATTTTTTATAACTAAATTAATGTAAGTTTATATAAAATATCTTGCTTGACTTTATTTTATATATTTTACTTTATTATTAAAAAATAGTCTTATATTTAATAATCTAATTTGCAGCTTTCTTTTTAATGTGTATGATTTTCTTATGTACGTTCTTTAATTTAAAAGAAAAGTATAAAGATTCGAAAATATTTCTTGATAAACTCAATCAAGAGATATCAATAATTAGCTAAATTTATTTGCCGCGAGTAAACAGTTAATATATATGTGCCTTGTTTTAAAATTTATTTATTATATACGACATTATACTATAGCGTCAATTACAACGCGTCAATTACGACAAGAACTGGTTAGGGATTGCAGTATATCTGAAAACTCCAAATTACATAAAAATGCATGTTCTCAATCGTGCTAAAATCATCGATGATGCATTTTACTTTATGGTAGCAGGCAAACTCAATCCCTCTATATTCTGGGACCTTACGAGTTATTTATCACAGGAGACAGATTTTATAGCATGGTATCCTATGATCAAAGTTTTTGAACACATGTCGACTATCCTTCCATTTTCAAATAAAAGAGTTGAAAAAATCCAGGTAAATAATAATGTATTTCTTTAATAGAAAAAATTGAAAATATATTAAAATTTGTTATATTTAATATTAATATATTGACATTAATTTTGTCAATATTAATATATTGACTTTATATTAATATGTACATATGTATAAAACTGTGCGTAAACAACAAAATGTTACATTTATCTAAAAATAAAAAAATATATTATAATATTTGTGTAATAATAATTTATCTTGTATATAAAATAAAAAATTGAGGACGTCTCAAAATTATTAAATAAGGCGATTTTAATACGTCTTAAAATAACGTCTAAACTACGTCTTTTTGAAACCTGTTTAAAACGTCTAAGGAATTTTATGACGTCTTTTAAACAAATATTCCGATCATGTAATTATGTAATATTACAACATATTTATATGTATGTCAATTATGTAACTCCATATATATTTTAGTTCAATCGATGTTTGCAAGCCCAAAAATTCCCTGGCAGTTGTATAAAACTCGGCATATAAACGAACACCTTATATTTATATTTTTACCCTCGATTGCATTCGAAAGATACATTTATTTTCACAAAAGGTGAAAGAGTTACATTTAAATGTAATTCAACAGGACGCGTCGTTGGAATCACATCGCCGAACGTTGAAACAAAAAAGTGTCAAGTCGACGACTGTCGAACGCGACGTGACGGCCGTGAAGCGCTCGCTCGGTGGCGGCGTCGCGCGTCGCGCGATGTCGCGCTTTGAGGTTAGGTATCGATCAGTGCGCTGGCGCCGTCTCGGCAGCGACGGGGACGCGAGAGCGGTGCTCGTCATGTTCCCATCCCGGCGGATCCCGCCGACCCGCGCGAGTTAGGAAGTCCGGTGCCTCCGCTACGATGACGACGTGCTGATCGCGAAACATGGCGCAGTCTATCCTCGATGCTCTGACAGGTGAGAGCGCGCGTTGGCCCGTGAGATAGGCGGGGTTTACCCGAGCCCGGAAACGTCAACAACCCGCCCCGAGCCTCCGTTCCTTCGGGCCTCGGGGTGGGTTGTTGTCTCCTTCCTGATTGTTGCATTCCCTCGACAAGCTCGCCTCTCGGCGACGATTTCGAATATGCTCCGGTGGCACGAGAGCGTGCGGATCTTTAGACCCTTTAGACGCAAGTTTGAAGAGTATAGAGAATAGGGGTCACTGACTTGACCGTCGACTCGATGCATTTTATATACAGCGACCTGTGCTTTGCACTCTCAGCAACGTTCCGTTGCCACCATCTCCAGATGTTGTAGTTAACACTTGGTATTGTTTAATTATTTCAACTTTGTTATGCTTTTATAGATGTCTCGCTGGACGGTTCCTCTGTGCAATCCTTGCTGGAGTCGCAAACCTTGATAGCTGAAGTCGAACAGTCAGGTATATATTCTTAAACGCAAAGAATAGATATTTTTTTTATTATATAATAATTTTATTATGTACAGAACGATCTTATATCGTATATTGATGCTTCAAAGGATGAATCTGGAGTCTAAAACAAGAAGAGAATGTCAGACGGACATAGATTATTTAGATGTTATTTTCTGAATTACAATAAATTAAGAGATCTAATTAAAAGTGCTCGTCTTTCACAATGAGATTTAGGGTATTGCGAAGCGACCTGATGTTTTAACATATATTACAGTTTTAAGATTTGCTGTAGTAAAACTGCTACAGATACTTTGAATATTTCTTTAAAATTTATTATAAATTGGGAGAATAAATCTTAAACTTGTTTATATAATTTTTGTTTTGGGTTTAGATTTATTCTTTAAGCATTGGCATTGATATTTGATTATGTTATGTTTTATTAAAAGATCTTCTCTCTTAAAAATGTAACTTTGACAATTTTTTCATAGTATCAAAGGATATGTATTCCAACTTTAGTTTAACTTGTTAGTTTGTAATTGTCTCGGAAAAAACAGAAATTCATATAAATACAGATATTATTCGATCTGAAATATAGATATAAGTTAATATATTTTCTAATTATTCTTTATACATATCATTTGTTATATAATACTAATTTCTTCACCAGCGATTGATCAAGATGAGGAAGACATATTCCAATGTGGCAAGTGCAAGAGCCAGTTTACATCGCTTCAGATGTTCGTACTCCATAAGAGGACGCACCAGAAGACGCAACAGCAAGTGGATTTGACTCAGTTCTTAACAAACGACGAGAGTCAGGTGATGCACGTGGAAGATGCCGCTCAAGATGAGTCGCAGTACAATTCGCAGGAAACCTTTCAGCTTGGAGAACCTATTATTCTCGAAGAAGCAGACATGTTATTTAGGTATATCACCATTGATAATTGTAATTATAATTCGTTACATAGTACAATAAATTTGAATTAAATATTTTGTACCATTTTGAACATATAGGTCATTTGTTGCTTTTGTACAATTTATTCTTTAATATGTATGCGATTTTTCATGAATCTGATTCAATTGTTACAGCGTGGACCAGGATGCTGCTAATTATTTCATGACAGACTCCACGTTCAGCGTACCGATTATCTTGAGTACAGAGAGCCTGGACACTTTCGGTAACGCTGCTATCGAGGCGACGGAAGACTCGAGCGAGGTGCCGACGATACATCTACAAAACGACATTAGCTCACAGGAGGACGCCTCCAGCCAGTCTGAACAACCTTGCGCCTCGTTGACGGACAACGAGCCATCCCTGGCGGAAAACGAGCCGCCTTTAGAGGACAACGAATCCTCTCTTGAGAACAACGAGACATCCCTCCAAGATCCACTCGGTGAATCAGAAAATGGCATTAGTCGAACGCAGAACTTAAAGGTATTGTTGTGTTAGCGACTCTCTGTTGCCAACTAAAATGAAACATAAGATCCATAAAATTCGATTGTATAATGTTAAATTAAATTGTAATAAATGTTTTTAAATTGTTTGATTATGAAATTTTACTTACTTTAATTATAATAATAAAAAATATAATACAAATTTGCTTTCAAGTAATTTTTTTAAAATGCAGGTTTTCATAAGTTACTAAATAAATCACGAGATTAATACAAACCTTTTGTACTAAGACACACATATCTGATTACATCATTGCAGTATAAGTGTGGTTATTGCAACAAGCAGTTTGCAAAAAAATTCTACTGGCAGCAACACGAACGTTCTCACACTGGAGAAAAGCCTTATCAATGCGTGGTGTGTGGTCGTGCATTCGCGCAGAAGTCGAATGTGAAGAAGCACATGTCCTCGCACAAAGTATGGCCCGGCACCGCCATTCATTCGTTACCACCAGAGGTAAGAAATTTTTAATTAAAATTACCACGTAAGATTTACTTTTTTCTTTTTCGAATATTTACAAGGAGAAAATTTCTTTTTTTTTATAAAACTACATTCTTGCTAGAATAACAACTTTTCTAAGAGAAAAGCTTTATATCGTATTTTATTATTGCTATATTGTAGTTAACCGTTTGAAATATTATAACAAACAGTTGCATATTTTTAAGGCACAAGAAACATTTAAAAAAATTAAATTTTAATTTTATATTTTTTACTGCTTAATTTTTATATTCTTTCTTTTCACTTTATTTACTATATTTTATTTTCATTATTTTCTTCTAAACTTTTAGGCACCTCCGGATGGAAGTATCGACCGCACATACCATTGCCAATTCTGTAAGGAGACGTTTGACTCGTATAAAGCTCTGAAAGGCCACCTAATCGTCTCGCATTTGGCGCTGAAAGTGTACAAATGCGTGCAGAGCAGCTGCAGCATGATGTTTTCGGATCTGGAAGAGTTTCTGGAGCACACGCGCAGCCACAAGTGCTCGGAATACCGGTGCCACGTGTGCGGCGAAGTATTCAGCACCCTATCGGATCTTGGTCACCATCAGTACGTCCACTCCGTCCAGAAGCAGAAGACCACGGAGAAGTATTACTGCTGCTCGACTTGCAAATCATCGTTCTCGAATCTGGAGGCATTGCAGCACCATAAAGAAACCACCACACACAATTACGCGTGCCTGCACTGCGGCAAGAGCTTTCTCATTGAGAGATTTCTGCGCCGCCATCTCAAGACTCATTCGGCATCAGCAAGATTCGCCTGCGAGGATTGTGGCAAAGCTTTTAAAACCGAGCAGTACCTGGCCAATCATAAGCTGATACACAGCGAGGAGACGCCTTTTACATGTCCAGTAAGTAGGAATAATTGCAATAATGTATGTTTAAGATGCTAAAACAATTTCCGCAATTAAGCAAATAAACTGAGATATAACTGCATATTGCTTATTTGGGAATTGATGTTTGCATTTTATATTTAAAATTACAGCATTGCCCAGCCAGATTCAAGCGGAAAGATCGACTGGGCCGGCACATGCTGATTCACGATCTGACAAAAAGGCTCAAGTGCCCATTTCGCAACTATCTGGGCTGCATGAGTGAGTTTTCACGGCCAGACAAACTCAAACGACACTTGCTGACGCACAGCAACGTCAAGCGGTTCAGTTGCAGCCACTGCAATCGCAACTTCCACCGGGCGCAAGCGCTCAAGCATCACGAGATGAACAAGCACAGTCTTAAGTGCGATATCTGTTCTCATGTGAGTCTCATTCTCGAATCACTCGGAACGCTATTCGGGTAACTCTTTAACCTGACTATTAACATTATGCAGGCTTTTAAGACTAAGGAGCAGCTGGTTACTCACAATTGCGAACAATCGAACGAGACCAAGAAGCATACGAGCTCGCAGCTACCGAAAAAAGCATCCGGATCATTTAAGCCGAGGAAGCCCACCCCAAAGAGACAAACGTTATCAAAGACTGCAATCCCGCTCGCCGACAAAGAGAAATTAGAAAAGCTTAAGACTGATGAGATAGAGAAAAAAGTAATTTACATCTTAAATCACTTTTCGTATCTTTCTCAATATATGATATAGTATAAAACTTTTCCTTTTTGCTTTGATATTTTGATCGTATTTCAGTCTTCCTGCTTGTAATCTTCTTGTTTAAGAACTTATATATTTCGCATATAAATTTTTTCCTTTTAATCTGGGATTTCTTTCTTTTTCTCTGTATATATTAATTATACTAAATTCTTTAATCTCATTGCAGATCGCCTCCGAAACATTTAAATCTGGCGATTTCAACGAAGAATCCAGCAAAAAAATAGGGAACGTTCCTCCCATCTCGAAAGCAGTCGAATCGGCCAGCGGTGAATTAAACGAGCGCTCCGACTCGCCAGTTATGGACTTCGAGAACGATTTAAAACGCAACATGGAGTTCTATTCGCCCGACGCGAGCGAGTAGAGTTTTACAATATATATACCTATATACATATACGCGTATATATATATTTTTGATTCGTATTTAAATTGTACATCAATTAGGACGTAGACGAATCGTCGTAGCACGTGCAATGGGATCATCGGCGAAGGCGCAAGTTGCATTTTATATTTGCGTACGGTATTTTGTAGTTTACATATCTGTGATAATTGTATTATAAATGCTCTATCGACGTAAGTAACTTATATATACATTTGCGCGCACATCGAAGATGTTCGATGTCGCTAATTTCGATTCTTCTATGAGAAAACTCGTTGTATAGGCACTGCTGTAGTTATACTCCGAGTACCCTTTCGAACACTTTCGTTCGTTACATTTTTTAACAATTACAAAGCATACGCACGATATCAGAGCTGTAACGAAACATTTTGACAGCGCGACGTCTTTTTAATTTATTTGTTATAAAATAATAAATCTAGATCAGAAGTCGCAAATGCGAAAGGTGTAAAATAACTTAAGAAAGAATATCAATTTTATGAAATAGCCCAAGTTTGTATTATAATTATTCCTGAAGATTCTTTCCTTTAGGCTTAAATCCTACTTGATCAGTGCTCCTTCAACTCCAATGCGTTAGTTATTTCAATTAAATAAATTTATAAACTTTTTAAATTAATATTTACATTACACCTAAGTAGAATATTTTATACTGAATGAAAAAGAAAGTTGAATTTACTACTAGTTTAGGGTCAATCTAAGCATTCTGTTGTGTGCAAGCTATTATCTTGTGATAATTTTTGTGATATTTGAAAGGAAGCGGTCAGTGAAAACCGCAATCAATCTTGGAAGATTAGAAGCAAAAATACGTCGCATATTCATTACAATGTAGAATCGAGACTTTCTTAGCTACGTTCAAATTAACGTATATAGTTGTGAGTTAACTGTGTTGAAGAAACCATGTCGCTCCGCAAAACGTATCAGATTAACAATCGGGAGCAGGGCAAGGCCGCTCAACGGGATCAGTCGTACAGAAGCTGCCTCATCACCCTACTCATCTTCTTCTTCATATGCCTTATCCTTATCCTCGCCTGCGTACCCTGGAAGATGCGGAATCAAAAAGAATACAAGGATCGATATATTGAACACGAGCCACAGGTGTATTATGAGTAAAATATCTTCAGACAATCTAAATATATAAGTAAATTATATAAAAAATAGGAAGCAACTTATTTAACAAATTTAAGAAAATTTCACAGAAATCATTACAAATTTTACACACAATTTTTTTCTTAATTGTTGGCTCAATTGTCTTAGCAAACATTTTCCGAAAATTTCTTAAAGAAAAAAAAATTTAATAAGATATTTCCTGCAACATGTCTCTTCTATATATTACATAAGAGTGTCTTTTTAAATTTACTTATTAATATTTATTGCTAATAAATTTATTTACCTTTAAATAATTTTATTGGGTATTTTAAACAGCATCATCATCAAGAACGCACAAAGGAAGCAACAATCATGACAGATTCATCAACAACTCAAAGAACTTCAACGACAGAAAGGGCAGTTCTTTCAAGAACTCTGAAACCTCCAAAAACAGTAATTTCAACAATTACATCCACACACAGTACACCGATCATAGACAATAACAGAACCAATAGACCAATAGAAGATAACGATGCCATTACTATAGATTATTCTAAGGATAATATTCTAAGAAATGTTAAAGGCTCTCGTTATTTCGAGCGTTACTTCGAAAAGAGCGTAGATGAAATAACATCGTCTGCTCCTATAGCTCAAGAAGATACTGAGGACTACATCACGAAGGAAATCCTAAAAGATATAGAAACTACAGAAGAAAGCATCGACTTGTCTACATTGCCGCATGATCGGCATGATATTGTGACTGATGATGTTATCGTTAAAGAAGCAGCTTTAACATCGCCGAGTAGACCAACCATCAGCACCACTACGTTAAAATACGTTACGATTGTTGATATTATAAAAGATGTGGTGACTTCAAAATTCGTTAAGAATTCTACGAGCGATTCTACTGATGAATATTACAATTTGAATAAATCAGAAGTTGACATTGTAACTAATAATATTATAACTCCAACATTGTCAGCTCGGTCAAATGGTCTCGAAGACAACGCTTCCGAGAATTTTACTAAAAAATATGAGAGATTAAGGATCGGTATTGATGATATTACATTTTCAACAGTGCCGAGTTTTCATCAGATTGATCTTAAAGAAAACGCAAGTGCTAAATATCCCTCCAATAAGAATAATTCTGAGGATTCACAATTCGAGGTAACGAGTGATATTATTTCAACGTTGCCAACTCAATCAGACCCTGAAGAAGATAGAGATACTGAAAATTCTACAACAAAACATTTAAATTATGAAGAATCTACAGTCACGGAGTACAATGCGACGTTAATTAATGAGATCGTAACGAGAGAGAGTTCTTCTTCCACAATAAATTATACTCCACTTATGGATGAGAAGTTTTCATCAACAACAACGGAAGTTAAAAATGTAATGAAAGTCTAATGCATTGAAATTGATTTGATATAACGTGTATTAATTAACGAATGTGGAGTTAATAAAGGGCATTGAGAATACAACGCGGTTATTGGTGCGTGAGTTATCAAAATAACAATATTTAATTATTATTAACAATAAAGTTAAAGTATTAACAATACATAATTAAATATTGTAATTTGGATAACTCACTCACCAATAATTGCGTTGTATTCTCAATGTCCTTTATTCACCCTCATTAGGCTAGTTTCATTATTGAAAGTCCATCATTAATTTGTTTCTATTATAATATAAGTTAATTCTTTCTATAAATAAATTTCTATTAAATTTTTTATATAGATATTTTCAAATCTGCAAAACTTACATCAATATTTATGATATTATTTAACTTTATAGGAAGCTGAAAACGTAATGAATGAAACGACTATGAACGAAGAGAATTATACTACCGAGAAATACAACGTGACTTCTGATGAAATGGAGAAATACAGCATACCTTCCATGTCCAATTATACGAACGCAACTGCTACTTCTAGTTCTTACAACCATACAACCAGCACAACCGTTTCAATAAGTTACAATGAAAAAAATCCCTCGACTACGACAAGGACCACAAGGGCGACAAGGACCACATTTCCTGATAAGAATACGAGCGTTTGCGAGACAGGACACTGCAAGCATGTCGCCAGCAAGATATTGTCCTACATGAATCACTTGGCAGATCCTTGCGACGATTTCTACGAGTATGCCTGCGGTGGTTTTGAAGCAAATCCACAGTTGACGGACGGAGATCTAGTTCGGAGATCTAAGAATTACCAACGAATCGCCGGTAAGATTATAACGCATAATTACTAATAAATAATAAATAGCATGCAAATCAAACCAGGAAGCATTCATCTTGATCCAAGATGAAAAAGATTGACTTGCTACAGAGATTAATTATTGAATATGTTTACATTTCTCATTCTGTGATAATAATTGTTCTAAATAATTTTAGATCAGATGTTAAAAGAGAAGCATGAGAACGTGCATTCGACTTTTGCAACATATTACAACAGCTGCGTGCAATACGAAAGAAATATGATGTTTAGTGAAAGAGCAAGAATGGGTAAATTGAAGCCGTGTAGTATTTAATGAATAAAGATTTACGTGAATGTAAACATAGTAAAATTATATAAAATTGTCGGCCGTTAATCAATTCTGTTGCAGCTAATGACGCGTTAAAAAAAATAGGACAGTTCTATATACCTGCCACGTGGTCTGATCATTACACGAACTTCACCAAATTATTCGCTCAATTAATGTTACACCATAGGTAAGTTCTCAGGAAGGTTTATTGAAATAAAATTTGTAAATTATTAGGATTATTTCTCTTTAGCGCTCTTTTATTTGACGTCGTGCCAGAATTGGACGAATATCGTCCAAAGATTTTCACGTTGAAGATAGGTCCTACCACATACGAGAGTCCTTTCAAAGCGGAATATACGGAAGATCCGTGTTCTGAGGACAAATTCGAGATGAAAGGACAATATGTGGATCTCGAAATTTTGTACAATAATTATAAAAGCTGCAAGGTACAAATCGCTTAAACTATCGCGAATTGTTTTAAGGGAAAGTTAAATTTTATTAATACGAAGAAATAAAAAATAATTTTTCTTTTGTTTTTATAAAATCCTTTTTTAGTTTTTTATTTCTAATTTAGTCAATGCTCTTTCTCTTTATCTACAATTAGTAGATAATTATAAACTTGTTAATTTTTAAACAATATTTGTCAATTATAAAATATAAATTAGAAAATTAATAAAATGGATTAATAGAAAAGCGTGTATAGAAGAAAAAGCGAATAATTTTTTTTTTACAGAACGATACGAGTGGGTTTATGAGATCTATCAGGAAAGCGCTAACAGAGCTTAACGTTTTTAAAGGCTTAAATGCCAGCTATTCAGAACAGAATGAATCAGAGTACATAGAAAAAACCGTTGACGTGATTGATTCTATTATAATGCAAGAGTACTTTTCGGTAATTAAATGACAGAGCCTTTGATAACTATTTTTATTCATCAATAAAATGCTATCTTGCATTAATTTCGCAGAACTTTCCGTCTAAAAGTGAAATACGGGAAGCATACTTGATGAACAATTATAGCAAAGTCAGTTTAGAGGAATTGCAGAGCAACAGTAATCTCGTAAGTGACAACGCAGGGAATTTTAGTAATTTTTCCATAAAGACAAAAAATTGTGAAATCGAATATTTAACTTCAATCTTTTAGTTAGAGTGTTACAATTTTAGTTCTTACTCTTCCCTTCAATTTTCTCTCGCAGGTAAATTGGGCGCAATTAATTCCCTCGTTAACAGGACTGGACATGAACACTAGCGAGAGTATTCAAGTTTATTTCTATACCGCGTTGACTAAAGGTTTACGTAGATTAGAAGTATACGCTAAAAAGGATCCTATGGGTCTTAACAATGCGATAATGGGATTGTATGCGCACAGACTTTATCGTGAGGTAATTTACATGTTAAGATACTTCGCCTTCAAATATAATAAAATAAAAATACGTATGTAAACTGAAATAAATATAAAACAAATGTATATAAAGTACATTACAATTTAGCGAATAATGTGAAATTGGTTTTTAACAATTTTATATAGTATTTTGTATTAATAAAAATTATTTTTATTTTTATTGATACGATAAAGTGAAATTCTTCACAGCTGGTCTTGCCGAAGCGCGATAATGTGAAGGATCATTGTTTGCATGTGGCTACCTATCTTCTGAAGTTGGAAGCGTCCAGTTTATATATATCATCTTTTGCCGATCACGAAATAGGGCAAATGAATAGTATGGTAAGTAATTTTAAATATATAAATAAAATTTAATATAGATATATTAAATGTAAATAAATGCCCAATTTTTCAAATTTACGAATTATTTGTGTTTTTTTTTGCTATTATTTCATTCAATAGATAGAAAAAATATTCAACGAGTTGAAACAAACGTTATCAATAAAAATGCAAGAAGCGCAATGGGCGAAAGAGAAAGGACGAGAAGAATTGTTAAAAAAGATCAACAGTCTGGAGCTCGCACTACCAGTTGTTTCCTATTTCAAGAACAGAGACTTACTATATAGCGAGTATAATGTATCAGAGGTAAAACATTTTACAACACAGAGGTTTTTATAACATTTACACATTCATATAACGTGTACCATCTTTTTCTTATTTTGGATTTTGAATTCATCTTCTGTATTGGCATGTAATTAAAAATCATTCCGTGTCTTGCTTGATTTTTTCAATTATGCTCTATACATATCGACAATCGAATTTCAGATAACCCTGTACGATTATTTTAACACTTCGATGATTCTGCTGAAAAGATACAGAACTCTAATGTACGCCGAATTGAGAAGACAAGTTGGTGACCCAAAACAAATGTAAATAAGATACAAATAATTAATTCCTTGCGACCAATTAATTAATCCAACTTAAAACAAAGTATTCGTAGAATTGTCGTAGAAAGACGCGTGTTTAACTCTACATATTTATATATTTCAGTAGATTGTTTTATTTATACATAAATAATAAATCTAGATCAAAATTTTTATATCTTTTAATTTTAAGAATTTTCAATTTCTTTATAAGTTCTCCGACTTGGAAAATCTTTTCAAATCTACGTTTATATTACTTTCATAAATTGCAGTTGGACATACTATGCCACGCCTTTCCAGTCCAAGGCCCGAGTGATCTATCCCCTAAACCTTATCGTGATTCCTTACGGTATCATCGATTGGTCCTTAATAAACGATGAATCATCTTTTGACTATCTTCTGCTGGCAACGCTTGGGAATTTAATAGCTCACCAAATCGCCCATCATTTTGACACAAATGGTAAATGTACTAATAATATAAATACCTAGAAATCTTACAAATCATTAATAACTTTTTCTTTATCATTTCTCAGATCTACTATGCAACTATATATAATTCATATTAAAATTTAAACTAATTGAAAAAATTGCATAATACTGATTTCAAGAAAAAATTAAAAAAATTAAAATAAATCACAATGATCATTTTTTCCTAATATCTTTTAAATCTTCTATTATCCGAATCGTTCTTTGTAACAGGTATACACTATTGGGACCAAAGTAGGAATACTCAGAATTCCCTGATGTTTGGAAACACTCTCACAAACACTCATTTCGACGATTACATCAACTGTCAAAAGGAGAACCTGTACCAAGAACCAATGAACATGACGTTACCCTTCACTGACCAAACCGTATCCTTTAGGGTAAGCTGCTTAAGAATGCTTAGTCCCATAACGCATAATTTCCCTCGTTGTAAAATACAATAACAAAACGGGAGAAGGGACAGTTAGAAAGACTCTGTTCAAGGTTTAACATAACAAACGTGATGCTTCTTTTGCGTAACGCTTGATTTATTAAATCGTTCGTAGACGCAAAATGTCGACATGTGTAAATATTCTAGATCCCGCGGTTGACCTTGAACGAGCGGTTGTCTGAAATTATGGGACTCAGACTAGCCTATGATACTTTGGCTCTTACGAAGTCAGATGCGAAGAGACTACCATGGATACAACTCCGCATCGACCAATTATTCTACCTCGCCTACGCTCAGGTACTGTTCTCACAGTTCGTTTTACATTAACAGCAGTTCATTTAATGAGGCGAATGATTTCTCTCGGAGCATGCTGGAGAATCGTGTGATCCTCGAGGCATTTTGTATGCATATTCAGATAAGCCCGAAAATCTGCAATGATAACGGTCGATTCTTAATTTCCTCGAAACCTTTGACCATCGTCGGGTTGCCTCAGATGATTAACATTTTTATATCTCTGCCATTCCAGACGTATTGCACGAAGATGCCACTCGCGTCGTCGTACGTCTCCCTGTATGAGAGCGAGGACCTACCGAGTCGGATCCGCGTATTCGTCTCGGCGTCGAACGACAAGCTCCTTGCTGAGGCATGGAACTGCCCACTTGGCTCGCAGATCGCGCCCAACGACGTTTGCAGCGTGTTCCCGTACATAGAGATCAAGGAGACTGCGATGATCCCAGAGTGAGGGCCGTTCGCGGAAAATAGGACTGAACGAGCACCCGCGGACGTCGCGATCTAGCAAATGAGCCAATCGGCTATCATTATTCGCGAGTTAATCGACGGACACAGAAACAAAACTTGGATCGGTCCATCTTGCGAGATTCGCGTATCAATATCTTTAACATGCAGTTTCGAAATCGAATTAGAAATACCAAGCGTCAATTTCATCACGGTTTCATCCGTGATTGAGGCGTAAAACTGTCCTTAGTTCTAAAAAAAAAAAAAAAACAAGTTGGAGGACATATGTTTTGCTTCTGTATCCTTCAATATATGAAGAGATTCTCATTCACATACAATAAAAACGTGTGTCTTAAGATTAAAAGCAATGCTTCGATGAACACATTGCCGCAAGCGCATCATTTGCGAGGTAACTAAAACAGAACAAGAAAGTAAACGAACAATGTAATCACTAAATGAATACGAATCTACCTATAAATGATTTTTACGCGAATGGTTTTTCCATCGAATTTGATGAAACGCTAAATACGAGCGCCCGCGGATCAATTTAAGCGATAATAACGTTCTCCATTTATTCTGAGAAACAAAAGTAACAACAGCTTTGGAGACCACTCATACCACGTCATAAACAATCGAACGCACGCATCATCATCCATCTTACTCTTACGCGCGATTGTCCCATTCGACTAGAAAGTATAATTAGTGTCCACAGTTCACGATCAAGCGGTTTTCACTTTTCCTCTCACAGTTTCTTCTTATCCAATTCTTCCACGGATTTCGTACGACGAGCCATATTCCCTGAAATACACAGATACGTTCGTAAATAGCACGTCGAGACTGTTGCTTTAACGTCGACTGAGTTGTGACATTTGATTGAGAACTTTAAAAATCTTGATTTGAAAAGCAACATATATATATATATATATATATATAGAATATAGAAATATATAGAATAGACATAGAATAGATATACAGTAGATATAAAAAAGAAAGAAAAATTTAATTAAAATACAAAACATGGAAAAAAAATGTAATTAAAAAAAATTTTTCAATCAAGATCAATTTCTCTAGTCTGATTATTTTTCAAAAAATCAGGAAATGATTTATTATAAATATTTTAGAATTTAAAGAGATCCGAGGATGTAAAAGGATAAAATTTTTAGAAATTCAAGAATTAGAGTATTTCAAGATCCAAAAAGTCCAGAATTAAGGCTCCTATGGTCTCGCCTTTGATGTCATGATTTAACATAGCCGCGGCGAGTACCCAGGAGCCTTAAAAAATGCTAGAATCCAAGACTCGGGAATCTAATATTCAAAGATCTGAAGAATCCTAAAGTTCAGAAATTGCGGATGATTAATCGTTGTTCTTCATTACTTGAGTCACCAATAAAAACAAGATTTACAAGATAGTTCAGTTAGAATATTATACATGTACAAGTCATGAATAAATCACGGGCAAGTTTTAGGATGACTGAAAATAACAGTGATAGAACAATGGCAGTAGCAAACAAACGATTAATCAAGTGTCGCAAACTCAGTAGATTGCAAACCACTAATGCCCGATCTACAATAGCTGTAGTAAGCTGTAGTAAGCCTCAAGATGTAAGAAATTGACCAATCACAGTCGATTATTCTCCTCACATTCGCCTGTAATTAGGTCAATTCCTTACGGCTTGAGGCTTACTACAGCTTACTACAGCTATTGTAGATCGGGCATAAGCGATTACACATCGTATGACGCGTAATCAATTAACACATACCACTTATATCCGTGTCAAACTTGTTCAGATAGGAGACGGACCGTCTTATAGTGACTTTCTTTCCTGTCTGTAGTGATCAGCACCATGCATTTGAAAGGAACAATGAGAGTTAGTTACAAAAATTAATCAGCTATTGACGAACAATGCTTATCTAGGTTGACACGTAAAATCACTGTAAGTTTGCGTAAAAAAAGAAATATTTATACGATACTTTCATTTCAAATTATTATGCAATTATTGTCCTTTCATTTTCTCTGATAATAAAAATATTGTAGTAACATTTTTCCTGAATCATATTCTTAGAAATCTAGAGGGATTAAAATCTAAACGTGTTTATACCTACCTCGAAGTATTGATGCCACAAAACGCAGCCGTAGACACAGAGAACGGAGACTAGAGACTGGCAAAGCAGCCAGAGGAGGATGTTGAGAGCTTGAGTGCGCTCAAACAGGGCAGCACCGTGGCGTATACATAGCAAAGCTTCTGTCACCATAATTGCCCCGTAAACCCAACACTGAGTTCCCACTCGACTACACGTCGGATCAGTCACGTACATGTAATACTGTCTGTAATTATGTTTATGATAACAAACCCTATCTCGCATACTCAAATACTTGTATTCACATATTTTAAAGTATTTTGTTAGATCAATTTATTAATATATGAGGCCAAATTAGATTAGAAGCTTTAAATTTACAATTATACCATTTTAAAAATATGATATATGTATAATATTAATAATATTTAATCTACAAATTATATATAACAATATAATTTTTTGAAGTAATCACACAATTCCAATGTTCTGAAATTTCAATATTCAAATTTGGCACAAATATAAAATTCTAACATACTTAATATTTCTAAGATGTGGCATACTATTATTTGCATCTTATTAAATGTCAAAATTCGTGCTCTTACTCACCTAACGGACGGCGCGACTATGACGCCGATCAATACTAATCTGGCCACAACAAACGGATGGGATGGTGGAAATTCGTACACGTGCTTCAAGAAAAAGGTATTCAGCTCAGAAACTTGCCAGAATATCACCAGCTGGCACAAAGCGACCAATCGCATATGTGTACAAGTTGGATCCAGCCATCTGACAGATGTCCAACTGCCAGGAGTAAACTGCAACATTGCTCGCTTCAGCTTCCCAGTGGTGCTCTCGATGTCACGAATACTGACCCACCTGTATTCAGGAAACAAATAAAAAGATTCAGTATGCTTCAACACTTTTCGTTGAAACAAAGAAAAAACTACTTCTTTTATGAAACGGAAATAAAGTTTCCACAGAAAAAAAGAAATAAAATTATGCAAAATAAACTCCTTGTTACAAACGATTTAATTTAAAGAACATTTTAAGATTCAAACTAACTTACTTGTATTCTCTCATCTCTAATATGGAGCAGATCTTCAGGCCGACCCAGATACCCAATCCATTACACACTAGAACGTCCAGAATTAACGCGTCCCACCAGCACTCGACAAAGTTTGGCAATAAGTGAGCAAAGGCGATCTCCGTCACCTCCCACATGACGCTGATAGCCCAAAGGATACCAAGGTGTCGAATCAGAATAGCCTTGAAAGCCCAGCCGAGGAAGTGGGCCAGCGCAAACACGTCCAGGTGGCTCCAGATCTTTTCCACCGTGACGTCCGAGCAGTTGACGCCGTACTCCTTGTCCATATCGATGTGGAAGGAAGCTAAACCTGGATCCACCCATACCAGGATCCTCCTGACCGTCTCATAGTTTTGGAACAATAGGAAGAGCAGGAACATCAGATAGAGTACGCTGCAGCCGAATACTATCCGCCATACTACAGGATGAGGTCTAGTAAATGGACCGTTAGGGAATGTCAGGACAGATATGATGAGGAAGAAGAAAATGACGCACAACATGCCCGCCCACATGTTGTCCTCCACATTGGTGGTATTTCTGAAAGAAATGTTCTTAAATGTGACAAAATGTATAACATAATTGTGTATTCCGACAATACGACACACTAGCTCCTGTGACTTGTGAATTACATCTACATAAATTTTCTCATTGACTCCATTGTAAGCAACGACTAAAAGAATAATCAAAGTTTCAAAGTTCACCTACGTTTCAAGCCATAATAAATATATAACAATTGGTGTATATTTTTCTATACATCTACTGTGCGAACATCTACATAAATTTTATCACTGACTGCATTGTAAGCCATGACTAAAAGAATAAACTGAAAGAATAATCAAGTTCCAAAGTTCACCTGCGTTTCAAGCCGTAATAAACATATAACAATTGATGTATATTTTTCTATATATCTATTGTGTGAAAAATTGAACTTAATAATACAAGCTAGATCAAATTCAATTTAAATCTCTGACAATTAGGACTGCTGTCTAAACAAGGACATAAAATATCAAGCAGAATTGATGGCGCAAGTTATATAAGTTATATAATGTAGAATAAGCCAAACAAAAGCATGAATGGCTTATAATAGATGAGCCAAGGACAGAAATCCCTCTATAGTATTTTCATAGATAGAATTAGCTACATATTTACTTATCTTATAGAAAAAATTGCAACATTTTTTTCCTTTTTACCAACATTTTCTTGTGCATAAAAAATTAAGGTTTCCTTTATATGCAAGAACATAACAAAGCTTGCATCATTTAAAGCACAATATTAGATTATCACCAAGGAATTTCGCATTGTATTCTCAGAGGGATTATCTTATCGAAATTGGATACTGATCGCGTAGCAGATATAAACCTAATTACACTCAGAACACGAAATTCCTTTGGTCTTCTAACTGAAGCAGGTGTATATTTCACATCGTGCGAAGAAAGACAAGAGGGAAGAGTCAAAAAGAGAAGAGATTCATGCGAGACGTAATCCGCATGAATTCGAAAGAGCTAAAAGGTCAACGTGAGAGCCTGCAGCTACCTGGCAAACGCCGAGTATATGACGGCGCCGATGGAGATGAGCAGCAGGGTGATCGTATGCGGCTGATAGAAGAACTCGAGGGAGATGTCGTCGACCGGCCTCTCGTTGATGCTCGGGAAGCTGTCGGTCCCGGCGCGAAGCCTGTGTTCCTCGGCATGATCGACGACGGTGTTGTCGGCGACGGCGGCGGTGGCCGCCTTGGAGTCGCCCTCCTGCAATGCTGTCGACATCCTTCCGCGGTGACTCTGCCTCAGCCTTCGATCAACATCGGCGAGCAGACACGCGTCCGAAAAACGTGCCCACTACCCACCACTACCTACTGCCTGCGCCTGCCCTCGCCTACGGCAGATTCGCGTGAACTCGCGTGCGTTCGCGCGGCGCGTCAACAACTCGCTTGAACTCCACTCAGCGGCGAGCGCGCGCAACTTCACACCGATGGGCGCGCGCGCGATTGGCCGTGAACGAGGCGATATACGTAGACGGAAGCGAGCGTGAGATGGCGTCAGACTCGCGCGTTTTCTTGGAGGGAAGGGAAACAGGCGGGAAGGAGGAAGGAGGCTCGCTTGATAGGACACGTGATAGGACGATTAGATAGATCATTTCTTGCGAACACTTTTATATCTCCCGATCGTTATTCAACGTCATATTAGATGCGTCAATTAGGGAACAATTACCAATTGACCATGTGTATTGAAATGAACAGCAGCGGCACTTTACTGTGTTATATATAATTAAAAGTATATATATATACATATATTATACACACACACGCGAGGTCATGCCTTATCACGTGATTAAAATATATCAGAATTAATTGTGCTCATTTTCCACATGCATCGATATAAGCGTCTAAATTTAAGTTAAGGCATTATTATTATATAATTAAGGTATTATTATTATATTATATATAATGTATAATGTATAATTATATATGTATATAGTTAATATCCAGGACAAAAATTTTCCATATATAATATATATATATTTTTTTCTTTTGTATCTCTGTTTATATATGTGTATAAGAAAAATAATATAAGAATAATTGGAAAATAATTAGAAAAATAAAAACCCTTGCATTTTTTTGCAATAAATAAAAAATTGCGATTATACATTCTACTACATTATCTACTATATTAGAAGTTTAAAGATTTTTGTATATAAAATTTACGTAGATAAAAGCACGACGTGTAATATAACCGTCTTGATCAATGAGTCAGTCTAGACGCCGTTATTTCTCGCAAAGATCAAACTAAGCATTTTATTGGTCGAGACGTTTGTATCCTCAACTTCTCACTTATGTAAATTTACATGCAACCGCAGACATATATTATATACAAACGTCATGTGCGACGATTTTTCAGAGGTGTATCCGTCATATCGCATTCCCACATTAATTAAATTCAAAGTACGAAAGTCGTTTTACTTGAATCAATCGCTTCTAAAATTATTTTATTCTACAATTAATCTATATTTAAAATCCGCGTTATTCCTGCAACATTAAATGACGACTGTCCGAACCCGAGTCTCCCTTGGCGTATAAAAGACATGCATGCAGTGGCATGCACTAATCTCTTATCTCATACGTGCGGAGATCCGGATAACAATCTAAATGCGCAATAAAACGAGCGCCACGTGCGAATGGGAATCGCGTAACGCCGTTGTGTGCACGAGGCGTCAACGAAAAGTCGATCGAAGACCGCGGAAGGAGTAAATCGAGCTACTTCGCGGGCGCACAGGCCGCTCGGAGAGGAAAGACGACGGGTGTGGTGTCTCGAGTTCCTGACAGAACCAGTCGCGAACGTTCCGCCCATATTTGGGACACATTTCTTTACGCGGTAAGGCTCGGCGCGACCGCGCAACGGTCGCGACGTCCCACACACTCCTGCCTGAAGGATGCAGCCATATGATTCATCCGGAATGACTGTTTTTTTTTTTAAGACGGTTCTAACGGTTTCGCGTTCGAAGACAATGCGTCGTTTGCGACCCATCGATACGTACCAAAAGAAAGACAATTCTTCCCGAAAAAGATCATGAAAAAGATTTAAAAAAAGACAGATTAAAAAGAAAATATAAAATAATTAGAAATATTATATAAAGAATGATAATTACATAAACGATGATCAAGGTGATGTTCTTCGAAAATATTTTCTTTAATTTTCAGTATAATATTTGAATATTATTTAATTTTAAACTTAATTACCAATTTAATTTGAATATATATATTTAAACTGGTGACAGTAGAGATTGTCCCAAGAAATTATTTATCGTATACGAGGCAATTCATTTTTATTCAAATATTTCGGAAGGCATTGAAAGAATTAATAGATTAATGTGTTTGTAAAACACATGCATAAATTTATAAAACTGTAGGCTATAAATAAAAGCAAGCTTTTAGTACTAAAATATTACAAAAAAAATTATTGATTAAAAAAAAATAGTGTAAAACATTGAAATTATTATTTAGATTGGCACTTAATTGGCACCCGTTATAACAACAAATTGTTAATCGATATTTAAATTCAGCTAATAAATACGGCGTTTAAAAAATTAACAATAAATCTATCCATTATATTTAAGCAGCGCTTTTCACAGTGAAAAGTAAGTAAAGAGACGTTTTCAAGAATAGATGGAAAGTATAGAAGGAAAAAAAAAAAAAAAGATAAATAGACCAAGCGACGCGTGTGACGCGGGAGCAGCCGTCAAGTTAATCGAGAACGATCTCGCCAAGTGCACACAGCAGCACAGCGTCGACAACGTACAGCGATTCAAACGGACCAATGGGTGCGACGCGGCGCCGGCGGCGAGCCAATCGGGCGGTCTCGCCGGCGGCGACTCGTCCAGCCTCGCCGGCGCTCGGCCGCCTTCGGCGACTCGAATGCCGCACAAAGACGTCGCGCGATAAAAGCGGCGTGCGAAGCGACCGGTTTGGTATACACACACGGCGACTCGCTTCGTCCTGCGTCGTCGCGTTCCGGCGTTGCATCTGCGTGCGTGCGTACGAGTTTACGTCCGAAATTCGTGAGTGGACAGGGCCCGTCGTCGAACGATCGTCGAGAGCAGCAGTTTCTTCCTCCGCGAGAGAGAGAGAGGGATAAGGAGAGCGAGAGAGAAGCACAGGTAAATGTTTCCTGCTCTTCCCCCGGCTCTTTGCCGACGCGAACAAAGGGACGCCGCCGACCTTCGCGCCACGATTTATCAGAACGACGCGACGCGTCGGCTCGTCTTTTCGAAGGTTTGATCGAGGAGCAGGATTTTATCGTCGTTCGTCAATCTCGTGCTGCGTTTTCTCGTGCTGAATTATTGAGAGTCAAGGGGCAAGGTGCGTTGTTATTGTTTTGCAAGTTACGCGAATAACGCGAAGCGGCGGCTATTATCACTGGCTTTTGAGCGATGAGGACAGGAAAGGAAATCATGGCGGAATGGTTGGATTGGTTGGTAAATAAAGTGTTAGGCCTTGGTTTAATTTTATTAAGGTATTTATCTGATTATATATCTAGCCGTCTAATGTAAAATTTGTTAATTTGCTTTATAATTGTACCTTCGATTTGTAAAAATGTAATATAAATTTAAATTATATATTTTACAAGTTGTGGTTATATTTATTCGCTGCTAAATTCGGAATGGAAAAAGGCGTATGTAGGGTGTTTCAAATATCCTGTTTGCATGTTCTCATTTAGGAAGTTTATTAGTTTATTTCTTAGTAATAATCGACGCGCTAATTTAATCAAAATATTTAATATTCACGCATTATAACTATTATGATTATGACTAATTAGTTAATTTATATTTGAAAAAATAATTTTCTTTTTTTAAGGATAAGATTTACTAACGTCTCATTTGATTTTAAAGAGATATTCTTTGACGAAAAAGCAAATTCAAGTAAATAACGTTAGTCACTAGATGTCGCTATATAACTTATCGGACCCCTATTCTGTAACTCTAACGACAGTGTCGGTATCGTTATGTCGTCGTTGCGCAGCTTTTTTTTCATATAGTATACCTGCGCAACGACAACGTAACGATACCTGTCACTATCGTTACGAGTTACAGAATAGGGGTCCTGGAATCTGGACCGACCTTACACACTCTGATAACCATGTATCTTATATACCAAAGCTACTTTGTGTTGCTATGGTTTTATAAAAGAAGAATAGGAAAAGAAAGAATCTTTTTTTTTTCCTTTCAAATAAAACATACTTTTACTATAGTCAAAAGATTAAATGGCATAAGACGATATACTTGTTTAATTATCATTTTACTTTTTACTTATTTATTTTATTTTATTGTCTATCAAAAACTTCGAGCTCTCCGTCGTTTAAAATCGTTTAGAGTTTAGAGCTTCGACTTCAAGTGACTTTCAAACTTTAAATATAATACCAGAGAATTTTTGTTCAATGATAAAAATTTTTCGCACATTTACTTTTATGTAATATACAGTTTCAAGAATTCGTAAGTGTTTTCATCGTCATCGTTGTTTGCTACATAATAATAGTAAATAATAAATTCTTGTTAATTATGAAATAATAAATTATTTCATGAAATACATTTCGAAAATCAATGCTCCAGTCTAGATATATAGTCAACGTTAAGATATATTTGAGCGGAATAAAGAAGAAAACGTGATTGAACTTCTTTTTCACTAGGTACTCCACGCGTATAATTACAATTTTAATAACGAGTACGAATAATAAAGATCTTTATATATAATATTTATATAATATTACATTAGGGCTTTATTTTTTACTAAATAAAGGAAAAGCCAAAAAAAACTTACACATATTATACATATATTACATATCTAGAATGAAACAGAAACTATATCTTGCATTATTAAAAAAATCCTTTTAATTAATACAAACAGGTTTAGCATAAAGCAAATCGATCATACTTATCGTCGCTGTGAGTCTTCCTTCGAATTCAAGAACTCCTAAAAACATCGGTAATAATAGATCATTCTTTTTAATTGCACTTTCTGCAGTTCTATTTATAATTCTCTCTCTCTCTCTCTCTCTCTCTCTCTCTTTTTTCTTATATCTCTGCCAAATCTGCTGGTGAACGCTACATTTCGAGCTGAGAATATAATAAAATTGAAAAAGATCGATGTTACGATGATATTAGGAGTCCTTATTTGTACTTTTCCTCGAACATCCAATATATCCAGTGTTTATTTAACATATATTTACAAAACGTTTTTGTTGCAGAGATAACGTTATGGCCACCGCAGCGGAGTCGCCTGTTCCCAACGAATGTGAGTAACCGTCTTAAAGATACGTAAAACAATGTTGAGCGGTCGATAGATGATGTGCATATTCGTTCTACATGTTCGACAAACACAATTATCAGGAAAATGATCACAAGCGATACTCAAACTTGGATTATGCGCTCGAATCGATTTACAATTAATTCTAATTAAATCAATATTTTATATATGTATATATCCAAGCACAAAAAGCACGGAATGCGAATACGCTTTATATGTATTTTTTAGTATTTGTTAGTATTCGTACATGGAACATTATCGGCCCCTAATCTTTCGATGCGTCCCATGTTTTTTGTGGAATGGGTCACGTTTGATACGGGGGTGCAGGTCTTGCGTGTCCCTTGGACGATATTGAGACAATGGTTCAGCAATTAGGGAGTAGGACCGAGGCGACCGGACGGTTCGGCGCCACGACGGAGAATATACACTCCAAGGCACCGCCGAGACCGGCGAGACCGGCGAGACCGGGAGACGGCAAAAGGACAAGAGGTCAGAGCCCCCGGACCCCGGTGGCCGCGTCTTCGTGGCTGGCGAGCAAGAATAAGAATGAGCGCTGCGGAGGAAGAAGTTGCTCGCGAGCCTGCATCGGACGGCTTGCCGGCTGTGCCTTAACGGCTGACAACTGCTGCAGTGGTGCACGCCGGCGACCCGTCGCCTCCGTGGCTCTCAACTTGGAATCGCCAGTCGCGAATCGCGCGACTGCGAACAATAGCGTGACTTGGAGAGGGACTTGAGGGAACTCGATTCTTCGATCCTCGCGTCTGTTTCTCTTCGTGCGAAAGAGCGAGCTAAAAATTGAGTTTAGAGTTGAACATGAGTCGAGCAACATAAAATTAATATAAAAGTATTATTTCTGAAAATGTTTAGATTTTGGAATAATAATAATAATGATTTTTATTGCTAATGTAGAAAATTAATGAGTTTCATGGTTATAAAAGACGAAAAGAAAAGTGAAGGAAAAAATTTCAAATTTGTAAAAATTTTTATTGCAATACATGCTCTTAAATTGAGCATTTTTTATGGTCAATCCAACAAAGAAAGTCGTGAAGGATGTCATGGAGGGAAGGGATTGTTGAATGAGACCCGTGATGAGAATTTCGTCCTTGGGGCAAACTTTTATTGGGAAGAAGCCAATAGAGGGATAACATGACGATAAACTCGATTTTTTCTCCGATCTTTCCGCTCGCTTTTTCTCGTTATCGCTGTCGTTTAGATACAATTAAACCGTAACGATCGAATGCGGCTCATTACACGGAGCTTATTAGATTGACATTTCTCGGGCGTTCAGAGTAAATACATCTTTTTTTGTGTGATTACACTTAAAACTTCAACGCCAGATTTTTTTTGCTAAACAAAATAAGTCATGAAAGCTATCTTAACCGCGATACGAGTCTATTTTTTTTTTCGTTTTGGATTATGAAACTGCAAAGATAAAAGAAGATGTTGGAAGAATTCTAAAAAAGAAATAGGGCGAAGTTTTGAGGAAGGGAGAATCTTCTCGAAACTTTAACTCTTACACTCTCTCTCTTTTGAACGTCCAGATGTAAACTATATGTATAATATCAGGACCAAACTAAATTATTTATTAAATTAATATAAACTAATAATTGTAATAACAATTTTACATGTTAATATAATTATTACATGATTAATATAATAATTATTATGTTAATAATCATATTAAACTAATATAAAGTAATTAATGACACGTATAAAAATTTAAATATTAGAATATATTTTTCAATTCTTGTTTCATTAAAAAATTAATTACCTGTTACATAAATAGGTACGAATTCGTTGGTAAATAAGCATATTATGTTTGGGCGGGTATTTTAATTATTTTTTATCGGGTTTTTTAAAATTAGTAAATTTTTTTTCTATAATTAATCTTATCGAAGATAAAACTCGAATCATAATTCTATTACAATTCGGAGTTTACGATGTATCTCTATATAGTTATGGATGAATTATCTCGAGAGATAAGTTTTTAATGTGAGATTATTACGAAATTGATAATCGTTAGCTTGACTTCACCTGTCTCGATTTAAACTAACTCGAGCCGTTTGATGATAAGGGATGCTTCAAATCGCTTGGATTAAACCGTCACGTCATTTCTTGCACGAGACAATTAATAAGATAAGAACCGACTTAAAAAAAAAACATTTTTCTTTGTTTGTCCCTCTAATAAATCCGACCGTGGCTACGGTCATCATGCACCATGAAAATTTTATTTCTCATTTAACAACGAAGGAGCCGTAACTAGGTGTTAATGTTAATGTATTCACATATAATTTAAATAACAGACGTTTCGGTCAACATATTGGACTATTCTCAGTATCGTACAAAATAAACCTAATTTGTTAAATCGAAGTAACATTAAACAGGAATTACACGTTCAAAAATTAAAAACTAAACGCAAACGTTCGTTGTTTTCGGAGTACGTCATGATAAAGGTTCGTTTCGTTCGTCGAGCGATCATTTGTCGAGTCAGCATTATCGGAAATGTGTTCTCTTATAATGATATGACAAAAAAAACTTTATTATGACGTACTCCGAAAACAACGAACGTTTGCGCTTAGTTTTTAATTTTTGAACGTGTAATTTCTGTTCAATGTTACTCCGATTTAACAAATTGCGTTTATTGTACGACACTGAGGATGGTCCAATATGTTGACCGAAACGTCTGTTATTTAAATTATATGTGAATAAATTAACATTAACACCTAGTTACGGCTCGATGCTCCTTCGTTGTTAATTGATTTTTAATCCTGTGAGCCTTTACTTTTATATTTTATTTCTCATTGATTTCCACGGGTAATCGATTCGCCATGCAGTATCTACGTCACAACGCGAGTTCCAACAAAACAGCTTCTTCGATCGTTCGTGTTCAGTGGAAAACTTTACACAAAGCACAATTATTATGTGCCTCATATTTTCCAGTCCCGTCGCGACGCCTTCGTCGAATCCCATAGGTGTGAATAACGACTCGAATTTAGAGAGATATTAAAGAAAATTAAAGAGAGGAATTAGAGAGAAGAATATATCTTAGGGATCTGGGAGCTTTGAAATTGAATTAAGGACTTCAGAGTTCTAAAACCTTAGAATTTACAGATCTAATAGATTCAAAGACTCGAGAATCTGAAAGTGCCGAAATATCGAATTTAGAGAGAATTAAAGAGAGGAATTTAGAGAGAAGAATATATCTCTTGGGATTTGGGACCTTTGGAATTGAATTAACGACTTCAGAGTTCTAAAGCCTTAGAATTTACAGATTTAATATATTCAAAGACTCGAGAATCTCAAAGTGCCGAAATATCGAATTTAGAGAGAGAATTAAAGAGAATTAAAGAGAAGAATATATTTGGGATCTGGGAGGGGGGGGATCCCGAATCTTTAAAATTGACTTAAGAACTTTAGAGTTGCAAAGCCTTAGAATTTACAGATCTATGCCCGGTATTTATAGTTGAATCTTATATTACCGTCTTAAGTACGATCTTAAGATGTTACGAACTGATAATCACAGGGCCGTATTAGCATCTTAAGATATTACTTAAGACGTTGTTGAAATAAGAACCGACTATAAATACCGGCCTAAGAGATCCAAAGATTCAAGAACTCAAAATAATATTTAGCTAAATATTTAGTCATTAAATATAGATTGTGTTAAATCACTAAATTTTAGTGATTTAACATGATCTCACACATTATTTGAAACATACGGGAGGAAAGCCTGAGAGCGCAAAATCAATTCGAATCTGTCGCAGTACTTTGCGAAATTCCGTGCCAATCACGCAGACTTTCCCCAGGCGGATTTTTTCGTCAATCGTTTCGGAAATTGAAGCCGGTCCTTCGTTAGGATGGTGACGGCAGTTCGGAGAATCCTGGAGAGCAGTCCATCTCCGATGGGACAGGAGAACGGGAGATAGACAGATGGTATTTTACGCCTGCATATAGGTTTCCGCACACGTGTCTAAAGGCCTGTGTCCACGATGCTAGAACTCCAAGTTCTCGGACCGAGGAAAAAGTTATTAAAACTTGGATCGTGCATGGACACACTGAACTTGGATGCAAAACTGATGTGTCCATGATCCAAGTTTCAGTAACTTTCTCTCGGTCCGAGAACTTGGACCAAGTTCTAGCATCGTGGACACAGGCCTTAACAACGGCTTTGAGCTATACCGAGTGTCCGAAAAAAAAACGGAGGAATCTTTAAGTAATCAAATCTTTCAAGAACGTAGAATTTCTGAAGAACAAAGAAATCTTAATGGGTTCTGGGATCTTGAGGACCTGAAATTTCATGTATATATAAGCACGTCGGGTTTCGGGGAAATATGAATCACGGAACTTTGAAAGATTTCAGCTCTCAGAAGTATTTCAGAATAAAGTTCCTGAGAAAAATGTAATCCTCTTAAATATTGCATGTATAAAATATCTGCATGACGAAGCAGCCTTTTAACGTCTAAGACTCGCAAAATATCTAACCCCAAACCACCGCCCCAATTAAAGTTTTCCTTTTTAATGTCACGACTTTGACCATCCCTCTGTCTGACGTCCTTACCTTCCTCTTGCGCATCCATTAAGCCCTATCTTCCATGCCTAACGCGGCCTACTCGCGAGACACCCCGTATAGCCAATAACACCCCTCCGACGGCTACTCTAGTAGTAGTGGCGATCGCAAGTTGGAGTTTGCTAGCTGGAAGGGTGGCTTGTCGTCGGGTAGGCTGTTGGTTGCAGGGCGCGGGGGAGAGCGAGGAACAGGAGGAGGAGGAGGAGGAGGAAGAAGAGGAAGAGGTGGAGGTGGAGGAGAGGGTGGTCGAATATTGAGCGACGCCGGGCGTCGCGGCGCAGCGTGCGGGCCAGTCGCCCTCCAGCCACCGCCCCAGTTACGACCTGAGCGACATTTCCGGCGTGCTTAACTCTTTTCTGGTCCGGTTTCCTTCTTCTCGTCCTTCCAAGCCCGCGTCTCTCAGTCTCGCGCGCCCGATCCCGTCGCCGAGATCCGCGAGACCTCCCGCGTAACAACATTCCCCTCGTACGAAACGAAACGACAATATGCTGATCGGTCTCGTGCGCGACTCGGTGCTCCAGTGCTTCTGTCACAGCTGCAAGGCCCCGCTGAACGTCGTAGGTGAGTGAATTCCTGTCTCGCAAGGACCACTACCCCCTGTCCGTCCCCTCGCTGAGGCCTTCCTTCCGGTTTCTCCGTAAATTCGGAAATCCGTAAAGATTGGCTGTCAAAGCGCTCTTGATACTCGATCTAGAACAGTATTTGAAGATCATTTTCCTGTTCAATTTTTCATGATCTTAAATTATCATTTCACAATCATGACTTTAATAGTCGGTCTTGGAAGAATGGAAGAAGTGTAGATTTTATATTTTAAAATTACAAAATTTTTAGGAACTTAAAGGAGCAAAATATTAGAACTTGCGGTAGAGATTTCGGCACTTACAGCACAGTGCTTTTTCAGAGTGGAGTTCTACTATAGAGATATAAGACTAGAGTGCGCGAGTCATATGCTAGCACGTAAGAGGCTGCGATATAGGAATAGAAAAAGAACGTTGCAGTATGGGCCCCTTCTGTCAGACAAAGACAGAAGGGGCCCATACTGCAGCTTTTTCTTTCTATTCCTATCGCGAAAAGACAGCTTTTTCGCTTTTTCAGCTCGCTTGCGTACTCTATTCTTATATCTCTATAAGTTCTACAGGGGCAGTCTCTCACGAGAAATCCTTGCAAAAGATTTTTAAATTGCTTTAAAATTTTGAATATATAATTTCTCTTATTTTTGTATAATTCTCCGAGAAGCGATTTCGTAACAGTATTCTCGACGGAATCAATCTTTATGCAGCAATTATCGGGTAATCTATTTCAGTTCTTGCTAAATAATTCGTCGATTTTTGAACGGAATTATTCAGTAACAGCTTTTACAGCAATCGTAAAGTAATTTAATATTAATCGAGCCAAACTTGATTAAGTACCTTTTACGTTATTTATAGAATAAGGTGCTGAATTACAATTCGTTGCTTTTTATAGACAGCGCCTTTATTAAAGTTTTTTATACGTAAATCTCGAAGCTAGAGATTATTATAAATTATTTATACAATATTTTTAGAGTGCATTTTTTTTATAGAGGTAAATGACGTTGCTTTTTCGGATTTTTGTAGGAAATACTTCTTTTTACGCGCGGATTGCCTCTTTACATTCTTTAGGATAGAAACTCTGAGATACCGAGTATCGTTTTTCACGACGATCTTGAAATTTTATGATTATGAAGTAAAATTCGAGGTCCTGAAACCGGAAGGAAGTAAAATGTGGTCTGCAAGCGACAATGACTGGACATATTCTCGGGAAAATCTCCTAACAAATCGTTCTATTTTATCTTACCTTATCCTTCGAGGAAGAAACTCACAGAAGGGGGTGCTTGGAAATAAATGCGACCGTTTCCTGTTGACAAGGAATATCCGAAAAAACGTACCCTGATTTCAGATTTATTTAATTGCGAAATGGATACAATTTTAATTATATATATTTTACAAATACTTTGTTTAAATAACGTAATTTAATTGTATGCTGTGTCCGTTTATTTTTTTTATTTTTTTATGTCAGCTTTCTCTTCAATGTTTTATATTCAATGTGTATTATTAATTCAATGTATTATTAATTTTTAATAACTTTATTCACTCGAGATTTCCTCGATTATTCAACATTCTTGCTAATCATTCTGAAATAATTATTCCGCGTAGTTTATTTTATCACTCAGTTGCGCGTGTAAATATTCTCGATCGATACAATATCGCATAGAGAAATTGAAGAATTTTGTACAGTAATGCTTTCGGCGAAGAAATTATGCTTTTTCGTGACCTCCGCAGGTCAGAGCACTGTCCTTACCGCAGTGCACGACGGTCGACATCACGGTGGTATCGTGACATTATCCTGGGCCACCTGCAGTTCGATCAATTTCTCAGACCGTCCGCGAATCGATACTCACGGTCCACCATTTTTCTCTCTACGGGGTGTCGCGAAACTTCGCCAATTCGTAAAAATTGTTCATGAATATCTGCGAATAAAGTTCTCTCCAAAAACTCCAATTAATGACCCATAATCATGAAAAAAAAGAGACATAAATACATATATACTTGAAATAAATTATCGAGTAAATTATTTGCAATGACGCAAAGTATTTTGTATAAAAAAAAGTATTATATATACTCTTTATTGAATTTTCCAGTTCGCAATTTTTTCAAACTTAATTACACTCGCTTTATTCGACAAATTAATATAAGCCTCTTTTTATTCTGTATATATAAAAAATTATATAGTGTTTATATTTTATACATAAATTAAATATATTTAAAGCAATACTTATCAATGTATTATAATACATTGAATTGAATTCGGATTACTTTATTAATAATATTTATCATTAACGTTAAAAATTATTTGGTAACAATACATATTTTTTTAACTTTTTTTTTTTTAATTTCTAAAGGATAATTATGAGTTGAATTATTTTCAGAGATGCATGCAATACGGCAATTTTTTGTTAACCGCACTAACGATGGTTTATGTTAAACTCAGTTGGAACAACCAGCGTTATTTTGATACATGTAGACATTCTATCATATACAGAATTTCGAAATCAGAGTGATTGATAGAAAATAAATTGGCATATGTAATCATTTTTTTATTTTGAGAAAAATCATAACATAAATTTCAATAAAAGCATTCTCAATAATTTTTGTAATTTAAAATAAGAAATTAGAAATCTGCCATTTTTTGTCACGCCGATACGCACGTGATCGGCTTGAAATGATCGGGGTGCGGTCCAACATGGCCACGGCGAAACGGTTGCATTGATTTCCCGATAATTAACCCATTGTGACACCAATCGATCCATCGTGCGAGCCGCACGACGGCACGCACGATGCTAATTTTGTTCCCTTTACAGCTTCGCTGTTTTTGAAATACCTGCTGCGCGTTGATTTAAACTCAAGCGAAGCTTTTTATACCTCGTGAAATATGATCGTTTCTCTTCCGTCTTTACGATTATCGCGTAACAAGATCTCCATAAATTTTACGAGATCAATATTTACAAAGAAAACGAAATAAAGGAGTAAGTAAAATCGACCTTTGTTTGTGGTATATTTTTGAAGTACCGCAATGACTCAAAAGCCTTTTTACACTGTTAAATGTTAAAGGATGACGTTTAAAACAATATCTCGAGTTAAATAACATTTTGTTATTTTTAACTTCGATACTATGTGTATCGAAATTTAATATTTTAACACAAAGCAGTATTATTTTTACTCCATTGATAAATTAACAACATATTGAGTAGGAGCAGTGGCGATCTACAGGATTAATTAAAAATTACTCGAATTGAGTACAATTTTTCACTACGAATTTGATAATTACGTTAAACGAATGACGGTGGTGTCTCAGTGGGTCAGAGCGCAATCCCGGCTGTTCCTCCCTTCTCCCTCGTTAATCTCTCTCTGGAAAGCGCTTCGAGTGTGCTTTGACCGTATCTGAATTTCCGAAGCGGGACAGAGACGGAATAATGCGCCGTTTAAGAAGCCGAGCGGCAAGGGCAAGCCGCGGACCAAGCAGCCGAAAAAGGTGAAGTTCATCAGTGAGTATCCGGATAATTAAGGGGGCTTTAGACGACGTTGAAGAACGTACTTGAGACGCGCTTATACTCATTCAATCGAATCATATCGATTGCCTTAGAATCCTAGAGCTTTCTCGCTAAAGAAACGTTCCAGAGAATCGCAATTCCAAGATTATACCAATAAAAATGTTGTCTTGATTTTTATCACCGACGATATATAAAATAAGAAATTTTATTGGATAAATTTCTACGAAAAATTGGCCTCAAAATTCAATATTGTTTTTTTTTTTTTTTAACCCTTTTTGGTCACACTGGGTAAAATACACTCCAGCGTTTTTTGACTTCGAAAACGACCTAGTAAACCAATGGAAATGGGCCTTGTGCCGCTATCTACAGGTAGTTGGGACCTTCAAGTATCGATCCCCGTACGTCGGTGGTATATTTTTCGGCCCGTTATAGTTCTCTCTCGGGATTTTTTTTTCGCAAAAAATCGCATTTTCATACCTCAAAATCAATATACTTTTTGGAACGGCCGCATAAACTGCAATAATCAGCGAAAAGTGCGTCATCAGACGATGAAAAAACCGTTTAAAAAATTAAAATATCTTAAAAAGTTACATTATTGAAAAAGTTACATTAGTTTTTATCGTTGTGAAAAGTCACTTTTCCGACTTTTTTTTCAACAATTTTTTTACATATTTTAAATTAATTTTTTGCAAATCAAACCTATACAGTCTTTATAAGGAAGACTTAAACTACAACAGGATATATACATATATATTTTTTTTTAAGGTCACCTACAATTTTTTTATACACGTGCAAACACGCTGGGGGTGTATTTCACCCAGCGTGACCGGTACGGGATTCTCGGGAAGTGTGACCAAAAAAAGTTAAGAAGGTTTCTCTGGAATGTTTTGCAGAAGAATGCATTTTGTTATATTTCCGTTTTTTATCACGCAATTGCGTTAGATTGTGATTTTATTTTATTAATAATTGTGGCGTCAGGAGATGTTTTATCTTCTTTTCTTAGCCGAGTCTGTTTCTTGCACCGGACGATTTTTATCTGTAATTGCCGCGTAGTGCACCTGCGTCGTTTTACTTTTATTCGCGCAACATGAGAATTCCCAGCGTCTCTGAGAGTTAAAAGGGAGCACCTTCGCCGCGTTAAAGATCGGTGCAATGCCCCCGGCATGAGAATGGTCGCGCCAATGTGTCGCCGCTGAATTATAAATCGAAAGCGGGGAGCATTTGTAAACTTGTATTACGTAGAGATGTACAGTGGTATCGACAACTTTTCATAACAATGACACAGCAGTTCTACTATCGTCGTCTCATTCCGCCGAGAAAAAGAGGGAGAGAAACAGATATTGAGAACGCGAAGTTGAGATAGCCTCTAGTTATAAAATAATATAAAATATAATAAGATAATCTTTCGATTAAACGTTCGTTTGAACTTCATTAATTTACATGACTCATCCATCGAGACACATGGCGAAAGAATAGGGACGAAGGATGTAATTTGAAAGATCGCGATTCACTTTTGCAATTAAATAATTGCTAGAATTCCCGAAGATCGCTATGGTAGGGAAATTATACACGACACGGTATGATATACGGTAATTACGGCTGGTAGCGGCGGAGTGTACACGGCGCGAGATGAAGAAAGAGGAGGAGGTGGTGGAGGCGGTGGAGGAGGTGGAGGTGCGTGCGACGACGCTAGACGTCGCGGCGCCTACGGCCGATCGTTCCCTCTGATCGATCCCTCCTCGCCGCGCCGCTCTCGTGCTTCTGATTGTGAGTCATATGCTTCCGCAACCAGCCGGCGCCGGAAATCGTGGAATCACGCCCGGGGCTGTTGCGCCGAGACGTCGCGTCGATGCTCGGTAGATTAGGGGTGTCGATACCAAACGAAGATTGAATACGCATCGATATCCGTGCGGGACAGTCTTGACGGTTAAAACTGGAAAATATTGATTTTTGGGCAAACTGAGCCCCCGGATGCTTCGGTTTCTCAATATTGGTGTCAATTTTTGAAGATATCACATGGCAGAGAAGCTCTATTCTTTTTATGAAATAAAATAAAAATTATTTTTTTCATTGTTTATAATTATGTAATATTAATAATTATTCTATAATTATATTATATTATTATTATACGTAATTATTTTATTATCAATTATTCTACAAGTACGTTATTATGTAATAGCATTTATTATATGATGGAAGAATAATAGCAATACATTTTCATTATACATCTAACAATAATGGTTATATAATTATTAATGGTGCTTGTGTTATTTATTATTAATAGTAATATCTCTATTATATAATTATTGATCGTTGTGTATGCCGCATTGAAAATGTACCATTATTATTTTTTGATCCACAAAGTTTATTGTGTCATGCCGAACATTCGTTACATCGATGGAAACTTTACAGCGACCGAGATTCGATGCCAGGAGAAGTCCAAGGGCGGACTATGCTACGAGGTGATCCTGGCGGAGCCGACGGTGCCTAAGAGAGCTCCTTCGCCGCCGCAGCAGAGCCCGACGCAGCAGACCGCGATCGAGGACAAGTTGAAGGCCGCCGAGGAGCGAAGACTGTCTATCGAGGCGCACAAGCTCGCTGCTCTCGCCGCTAAGCTCAGCAAGATCGAGGAAGCGTCCCGCAAGAAGGACGAGCTCAGCGCGGCCTTTATCGCCGCCACCCGCGAGTCCTTGGACGCGAAAATGAACAACACGGAAGAGAAGCGAGAGGCCCACATCGCCGAGCTGAAGAACAAACTGAAGGAGCATGTGAGTGGAGATCGGAGACAAGAATTAGTTTCGACCGATACGTTCAGTTTTTTAATTGATTAGTTGCCGCTTATTAAACTTTGCTTAGTTTCGGTTGTGCAGATGGTTAAGCGCATTAAGCGGTTATTCAACGAACATTTATCTAGATGACTGTTGTGATATTTAATTTCACTTTTCGTTGCAGTTGGAGAGTGTTGAGAAGACTCGCCTGAGCCTCGAGCAACAAACCGAGGAAGTGCGATGCGCCGTCGAGGAGAAACTGAAGACTGCCGCGGCTCAGCGTGACGAAAATATCAAGAGAATGCTGGATCGTCTCAAGGAGCATGTTAGTATAGTATAAAATCGAAATAAACATTATTATATATATATAATTACGAGAATTAGATAAATTGATTATAAGATGTAGATCAGAATTCGTTAAATTAGAAATTTAATGTAATTTTTTCATTTATAATTATATAATACGCAATATCTTTTTATTTCTAAAATTTATTATGTATGAAGTAATTTGAAAACGCGAAGCAACAATGAAACGCTTCTGAATTTGCATTTGCAACTATATCGTCGCTTTTTTCTTTTCTGCAAGGCTGCTACTTTGTTTTGCATATTTTAACAGGCAAACCATATAGGTAGATAATAGGCCCGGCAAGAATAGACATAAGTTATTGATTCGTGGGCTGTTTGCAGGAAGAGCAGGTAGCTCGCGTACGTCAAGGTATGTCGGAGCGCGTGCAGCAGTTGGAGTCCCAAATCCAGGGCAAGTTGGAGCAGGCACGTGAACGTCGCGAGAGCATCGAGCGCGAGCAGAAGGAGAAGCTACGCAATCATGTAAGTTTTTGGTCGAATGTAACTCTCGGAGTTAATTTAGTAGCTCGTAGTAGCTTTAGTACGGTCTGTATCAGGTTGTTACGAAACATCGTCGGTTTTTAGATAAATAAAAAATAAAGTTTAAATTTTAAATCATCAAAGTTTTAAAAATCTGTTTAAAGAATGAGTAATTGAAGAAATATAAAATCAGTAGAATTAAACGCGAAATAATCTTAATATTAAAATAATTTTAAATATCAATATGTTTAACTCCAATGAAAGTCTTCTAACAAACAGTAAAACGATTGCAAAAAGTGACAAAGGGTTGCGTAACAACCTGAAATCTTTAAGCATTGCATTCGCGTGCTTTTATAAGAAAGAGAGAAAAGTAAGAAAAACAAACCGGGTAGCTAGATATATAGTTATCTTTCTTTTAGTATGTAGCTGTGTTCATTTGGCTCATACGTAATTGTTTATGTACGGGATGTGCCGGAGAAGGCTTATATACCGATACTAAATTTTATCTGTTACGTAATGTGGAAACTCAGCAACAGTTAGACTTTGTTGCCTGCAATAAAGTCGGCGTCAGTCAGTTTAAATCGTAAATTTAAGGATCCTGTAATATGACTGGAAGTTCGAGTAAATCCAAAAACTTCGACGCATCCTGTTTAAGCCACTCGTCAGCTTGTTAGAGAGCATGACATATTTTTCGACCTTTGTCTTTAACAGAATCGCACCAGAGAACAACATTCTAATTCTGTAAATTTTCTTTTTTTCTGTTACTGTAGGAGAGGCGCGCCGAAATCGTAAGACAAAATAAGAAGGAGCGTAAGGATGGTAATCCTACAGAGTTATCGCATCCAATGCCGGTGGAGAACGAGACCGCCAGTTCCGGCTAAGTGTCAGGCGCTCTCTTCAAGGCCGTTCGAACGCCCTGCAAAGCTCTGTTTCGCTTTGTGCCATTATTTTCTGACTCGAAATAAAACGGGAGATCGATCGCCGCGCATCAGACATGTTCGCATTTCGAGGGAAAGAGGTAGAGGGAACCGGATCGTTTCTCCTTGCGGTTCCTGAATGTCGCATGGACAATACTGCCTTCATCACGTTGCTACCACTTCGTCAACGTTCCGCATTGAAAGAATGTATGGTTTCCTGAAATTTTCGAAGGAAAAAGCGAGGGTACTCAACTATTTTGAGGAGGTTGTTGCGAAAGTTTGATTCGGCTTTACATATGAGAGAGTTATAGGCGTTAAGATATGGGACCTAGTTCTAGAATCGGAAAAAACGTAAGAATTAAAAGAATTATTACAAGATTGAGCTATTCAAAGATTTAGAAGAGTTCAAGATTGTCAAAATTCAAGAACTTTTTTCTATTTTTTTACTCATTAAAAATATAGAAATTACAAGAGTCTACGATACTGTAATATCGATATATTCCAAGATCAAGATATCGAGAATTTGTAAAAACTAGAAACTTTTTTACAAGATTATTATAAGAGTCTATGAAAAGGCCAAAGAACTCTCGCAGCAACCCGAAGAAAATATGTTCCAGAGAAATACACAATTTTTTTACATAAAATATAATTCAAGATGAAATTAAAAATCAGATTTTAAAGCGCGTTTAAGGGATTCAACCTTGGCCTTTATTAATACTACAAAATACAATAATATGCTAATAATAATAATAGAAATCTTTATTTTTTATTTTGATCGATTGACTACAAATATATCCAAGGAAAAACAAAAAAAAATACAAAGATGCTCTTTTTAATCCGTTCATATGGATTTTTGCGCGTTGACTAATTAGATTCGTCTTCTTTTTTAATATTAATCTTGTTAATCTTGTTCTCAATGGGAAAAAAGTATAAAGTATGAGAAAAGACCGCTACGATGGCTAACGATCGATTAACCGTGATTATCGGCTGTTCATTTTGAATCGCAACACAATGCATCGTTTCCCGGAGATTTAGTTTGAGAGAGATTAATGGATTATTATAAATCTATCACTATCGCTACAACTTAGGTACTAAATGATGCGACTGCAGCTTTGTGTGTGCGTGTACACACACAAGAGGATATATGTGCGCGCGATGTGTTAAGCACACTCATGATTATATATATAATAGACATACAATTATAATGATATATTAATGATAATAATAATACAATAATGATAATAGTGCTTTATACTAGGCTTGAAAAACTTGAGAAAACATTTTGTACTCATTGTAATATTACTGCGCTAACCAAAATGAGATAACACTCACACGAGAAATGTAGTCTAACGAAATATGATATAATGTGACGCTTCTGTGATGACTTTAATTATTTGTCAAAATGTGTAACGGTTAAGTGTGGGCGAGAGAAAGAAAGAGAGAGCGACAGAGTGAGAATGAGAGAAAGAATAAATGGGAGAATGTGCGAAAAGTATAGGAGGAGAAAAAAAGAATGGAAGACACTTTTTTCAAGTTAGCACGGTTGTCGTGACCAGGGAAAGTTCGATGGCGTCGAGGATTCGAAACACATATGGCATAATATAATCTTGTTGGGACCCGATTCCGACTCACACGAAGTAGCGTCTGCTACAATCGCTGGTTTATATGCTTGCAGAAAAATAATAAAACAAATGAAAAAAAGCAAAAATAAGGACGTTACAGTATTTTCAGACGACAAAAGATTTTCTGGTGGTATCTGAAGTGAGCTTTGAAGCTTGCAACTTCCAAGTAATCTTCAGATTCTTCAGAAAGTTTTAAGATTAATAGAGAAATAAAAGTGTAGTTAAATTTGGCGTATAGACAATTCTGTGTACAAGAAACTAGAGTTTAATAAGCGCCGAAGCTTTGGATAAACAAAAGAAACGCAAGTTTTTGGAGTCCTAGAAGTCGATACGATGAGCCACATGGAGGCTTTCCGAAGTATCTAAAATACTCTTTGAAAGGAAATCTAAAAAAAAAATGGGAAAAAGAAAAAGAAAATGAGGAGCTTGGAGAACTTAAGCCTTGGTCACAGTGCCGCTGCAATTCCAAGGTCTAGAACACGACAAGTCGCGACTATATAATCATGATATTCATCAGCTTGCATCTCATAATCCGGCTCAGCAGTTCCCAAGTTTAAGCAATTTACTTTCTAAGATCTTGTAAAGACTCAAGTCTGCGATATCTTTAGAATCTAGGAGTCGACGATTCTTAGGTCCAAGGTTCTGCGAGGAGTAGTAATCGATCGTCGCATTCCATGATAGATAAATAGATTGACTTACTATATATTTTTTATTTTTTAAATAAACTTATTACATTTAGTATATTTTGCACTTTAATTAGTCTTTATAATAATTCACGTATGAATAGCAGATCTTGTTAGTCGATTATATTCTTGGGGACGTCTGGTCGTTATCGGCGTGCATTTAATTAGCTCTGAATTTACGAGTTTCTAGATGTCCAAAAATTGGAACGTAAACTTGGGGAACAGTTTTGAAATAATTCCTGTATAAATAAATTTTTTTTTAATTTCAATAAGCATCCTACTATTTGGATGAATCAATTTGCTCAATTCCTCTTTTCAGTAAATTTGATTGTAATATGCGCTGTTTTTTTTACTCTACATAATATATACATATATAATCTTCAGTTAATTTTGCACCTTACTCGACGTAAATAGAAGTTAATTAGCTTTGATACTCGCTATTTATCGGCTACACGATTATAGTCACGCTTAAAAATAATTGATGTAGTTAATGACTCGTAAGTGAACTAAACGTGCGTTTTTTCCCAAGACGTAAGGAAGCCTCACAGAACGCCTAATTGCACGAATACTAATTAAGCGTGGAAGTGACGAGTGGAAAGAAGAGAGAGAGACAGAGAGAATAAGAAAGAGAGTAAGAGAGAGAGAGAGAGAGAGAAAGAGAAAGAGAAAGAGAAAGAAAAAAGATGTGGTGAAAGGGTGCACGATGAGAAATTTCCGGCGTACTTTCAGGAGTCCGAGGAGAAATTCGTCTTGTCGTGTCGCGACGAGTGGTGGGTAACGTCTATTTTTGCATCTCGTTTTTGTAATCTTTTGGAAATTGTATATCCACGTGTAACGATTATAAACGCTGCGCGACATATGTCCCCCTCTTGACTTACGTTACAATATATACCGAGTAGCTGGGGAAAAAAGCGGGTAACAATACTAGGAATTCATTTCCGATCGAATTTCCTGTGTTATGAGAACCTCGTATTTTACTTAGATACATCCGGTATAAATATGTATTAACTGACGACGCGTACGGTGTGGGCCAACAGTCGTTGTTCTGGAAATGGATTAAAAAGCTTCAAGCTTTTTTTGTTATAGAAAACTGAAATAAATTATAAAAAACATTCGAGTCGTGACTTGTCTTGATACCAAATAATATTGCAAGCAATTTTATTACATATTCAAATTATTTTAGTTATGACTTTTTTATTTTACCAGCGATTATTTTCAATATATAAATTGTAATAAAAGTACCATTGCGAATCGTATCGTTCCAGATCTTTTTTTTCAATGACTTTTAGCCCACCCGCTCGATATATCACGTGTGTTTTGTGGGCTTTGATATCGCCTCGTGATGAGGAAAAAATCGAGGTATATTAAAATATATACATAATATATGTGTATAAATATATAAATGAACATATTTATTTATATATATATAAATATATATATTTATATATAATTTATATATATAAATGCAGCGCGCGCGGAGATAAGATTATCGCGTGCCGCAATATATTAATCGCGTTTTGCATTGGCTGCCTTCGATATATAATCCTTTCGGTTTTTGTTCGAGGTAGCGTGTGTGTTAAACGAGAACTTGATTGTGTGTAAAGTAAAAGGCCATACCTACTCGCACCAGGAACGTCTTTGTTATTCCGTCATTTAATTCTGAACTCACTCTTCTCCTCCGTAAAATTTTAGAAAAATTTACTAATTAACAACAGTTTTCCCTAAACGTAATAAATTTCAAACTGTAGTAGGATGCGTTGCTACTATTTACGATTCAATAATATTCAGTAATTAATATTTTATTATCGATGACTTTTTCTAACATTTTCCAATAAGTTTCCGCGTTCGTGATGTCGAAAAGGATATAAAAATATTTAAAACGACGGCAATGCGATCCATGTGAGAATTCTTTTAATTAACCCAAGAAATAACAAGTTTTAAATAAAATTATTCTTTTCTGTGGGATTTAAAATAATAAAGAAAATTTAATATTTTATTATCGAAAATTCTTATTAACATTTTCCAGTAAGTGTCCACGTTCGTGATGTCCAGAAAAGATATAAAACTATTTAAAATAACATCGCGATCCATTTGAAAATTCTTTTAATTAATCGAAGAAATATAACAAGTTTAAATAACGAAGAAATATAACAAGTTTAAATAAAATTAGATTCTTTTCTTATGGGATCTAAAACGATAAAATAAGACAATTTCGGAGTAGCAGGGAAAAAATATCCATACAACGGGAACGTCGTAGCATGTAGATTTGCGTGGCTCACGTGAACGCTGAACAGGTGTGCGCGCGACGGCCCTGGCGAGCGCGCACGACCGGCCACGTGACGTCGCGCACGCGCAAGGTCGGCATGCTCGCCATTGCTCGCGACTCCCGCGTCCCGCGAGCGCGAGCCAAAGGTCGAGAGTGACGAGACGGCCGGTAGACTAATGCAATGGATTTAAAATCCTACTATAAAGAATATATCTCTTTTATTAAGAGTTAGGGTGCCTCCCCATGCAGGACGGAATCTCGGAATCATTCTGATTGGTTAGTCCGAGATTCCGTCTTGCATGGGGAGGCACCCTTATAATCTAGAGCTCTAGGGACGCTTGTCCTAATCTGCCCTCTGAGAAAGTGGACGTCAACTATGTCGTTACGCTCGATAACGATACATGGGTTCGTATCCGTGCTATGGTTCGTGTCCGAACTACTCAGATGGGAGGGGATATACTGATCGCGCAAACCCCTCCTCTGTCCGTGTATGTACGCTGTATTGTACGCTCGGCATCGGCAAGTCGGCACTCGGCTGACCTGGCAGTGAGTCGAGCTATCGCTACGGCGTGTGTGATGTGATCGCGATGTGGTGCCCCACACTTCCCCTACGCCCCTACAGTCGATTGTAAGCAAACATGGCTGCCGTACGGGTACATAATAATGCGTAGCGGACGCGCCGCCGTCGGGAGCGATCGCGTGCGAGTGCGTGTACGATGTTGCTGAAGGGCCGGACTGCGACGGCGAAGAAGTACCGCAGGCATCATGGGAAAAGCGGTGCCAAGTCCGCGGCCGGTAAGTGCAACCTCGCGATCGTTTATGCGCAAAAACCCCGCGAGATGCTCGGTCGCTCCTAGCAAGTCTCTCTCCGTGCGTGTCTCTGTCTCTGTCTGTCTGTCTGTCTGTCTGTATCTCTCTCTGTCTCTGTCTGTCTTTCTCTCTCTACTCTCTCTCTCTCTCTCTCTCTCGCTCTCCTACGACCTCCGCGCTCTCCTCTCCGCGCTCGTGATGAATACTCCTCAGCCCCCGCTCGCTTCGCCTCGCCTCTCCCCGCTGAACTGCTGCTTAGTGCTCGTCGCGATATCGACCACGTATATAAACACACCAGCTGGAGCGATGCACAACAACAATCGCGCGATAAATCAGCGATCTATCCCACGACGGGACGCAAGCGCAAAATTCAAACTCGCGAGGGGAACACAGTAGCAATTAGCATTCCACGACTCTCACACGTGCGTCGCGGACGTTTTCCGAAATTCGTCCAGTTTGTCGCGCTCCGCGTTTATATCGTTAAAAAAGAGGGAAGAGATGCAGACGACGAGACGTCGCGTTATATCTCGGTGTGCACGGGGGGAACGTATCGCATCGAAATCGGAATCTAGCAGTTCCGTCAGATCGCCATTCTTACGCACGCATACACACTACACACGCCCGTGCGCGTGCGCGCACACACGTGCGTATGTAATCCATGGAGTATGGCGGTGAGAGGCCGATATTCCGATTTTCCCGGATGCGTCCGATCGGCCGAGCGTCGTGGAGTGTCGTGGACGCGACGTCGTTTCGGCCGGAGTCGGATCGCTTCGCATTTATTACGCAGCGTGATTGAGGGAAAACGCGGCGACGTTTTCGAAGCCGATAAAGACTTTACCCGATCGCGATTTTACTTACTGCGAAACGATCTCGCGAAACCTTTGCCACTGTGCGTCGATTCGATAATTTGATCGGAAAAGTGAAAGAAAAAGCAGAATGGACAGTACAAGTATAGATGGAGATGAGCTTCGTGCGGTCGGGCTGGATGTCTTTGTGTCTAATAATATTATTGCGTGATGAATTATTTATACATTTCTCGGCCCAGCGAACTACCCAGACAGCATCATGTCTAAGATCGGGACGTCTTTAAGACATCTTTAAGGCGTCTTTGAGACGTCTTATGTCCCGATTTTTGAACATGCGTGCTTTCTGTGTACGCGTCGGTTATCGTCGGTTTTAAAACGCAGTTCCAAACTGAAGTTAAAATAGTACAACTGTACAATCGCAATTAAATTGATAATCAATTTGATAATACCGATGCTAATAAGCCTCTTTAGAACCATTGCGAAAAATATCACATCAAAGAAAAGAAATAACGAAGGGAAGGATGCAAGGAGCGCGATGTATCGCGTGGATTTTTCTTCCGGTGGCAAACCGGTGGGTGTCGGTGGGCTAACCGCTTGCGGCGACCGAGACGCGACGCGGTGTGCAATTCGTTAATAAGAATCCGTTAAAAATATCCCCCGGAGACATTTCGGCGGAGCTCGCCGCTTGCGAGCGTCATCCGAAGATGCGTCGCGATGAAAATGCATTCCTGGCGCGCCGCGATAAGAATAGAGCGACGGATGGCGAGGAGGAGGAGGGGGGGGAAGGTAAGGATTCTCGTAATGTGATAACGAACAGGGGAGAATGCACAGAGAATCACGTGCGTGTAATTGAATCGCGCGTTGCGGATCGCCATGACGGATCGTTCACTCACATCATCTCGCACTTTTCCTGTACATTTTGTTAGTCGGTTATTCGCCAAGATAGTCCTGAACGTTCGACAGTTCTTGATGATTCGAAAAGAATTGGAATGTCGGTGTAGAGACACTTGTTCGATATTCTCGACTATTCCATACTTTTCTTTTATGTACGTCCGTACGAGGTATATAAAAATCTTTTTTTTTCCCCAAATGTAAAAAATGTCAAGTGCACGTATTACTTATATTGAAACTGTTATTATATTGAAAAACCGTTGTATAAAATTATTTTGATATATCCAATCAAAAATATAAAATAATTGTAAATTGCAACATAAATCATATTGATTTCCAGAGAGAAGATTGTTTATAAAAATGGTGAATGAAATATTGAGAGAGAGAATAGAGGTATTTTTGAACTACTTGTGAAATGAATATTTTAAAATAGGAGCGTCAATGAGCCTTTGGTATATATAATTCACGAACTGGCGTCATTATCGAAAACAGATGCATGTGCTAACACGTTAGGTCTGTTGTTTGCATTATATTACACTTTCTGCGTTTAAAGTGAGATATACAGATCCGAAGGATTGAATCGAAGGATTTACGGTTCCGATGATCTAAAGATGTAGATGCTCTAAGAAACAATTTAGATATTTAGGATTTAGAAATAGAAAATTCTTACGTGCAATAGATTTGCCCGATTAATCGTTATGGTTTTGCAAGTCCGAGACGGACGGCGACGCCCGTTTCAGGTGTAATTTCCATAGCGTAAATACACATATAATATAATATATACACATGTACATTCGTTTATTTATCTATGTATAAATAGGATTTAGAGAGATCCCTTTAGTACGCATATAATAATTATAATTGTAATAATTATAACATCAGCAAAAGACACAGAAAAAAATGCTGAAAAGAAGAATACAGAAAAATAACAAATTTACAACATGTATATTTCAATTGTGGTGGTCGCGCGCGCCCCTATCGAGACGGCAACACATTAGCCACATTTTCTCGCGAGCGCTCGTCCGCGCCGACATTAATATATAAACAAATTCGGTAACAACATCCATTGCCCCGATCGACACTATCACCGACGATCTCATCGGACGACGAGTTAGACGGGCATAGAGTGGAGTGGCACCATCGCGACTCGCAGAGAGTCGCATGGTATTTTTGGGGACGTATCTTCCACTTACCATCATACATCCAAAAACATACACTCCTCTTCATCCATCACTATCATCCATTACCAACACCGACATACGTATCCCCAAACAATGTATATTTTCTATCTGTTCTTTTTCGAAGAACTTCCTGAACTGATATGCACATTGGGGCCAATAAGTTAGAGTATAACAAAATATTGTCTCACTCTAACTTATTGCTTATCTCTAACTAGTGTGCACCAGTTCAGGAAGTTCTTATTATACATGTTTTTTCTCTGACTTTTCAAATGTATTTCGTATTAGACAGCACGTAAATTATATATTACGAAACTCTGCGAATTATAGTAGATTACTGAAACAAAGATATACCCTGAGAGAAGTGGGCGTAATATTAAAAATCTTACATCATAAACACCTCGTTATGCCAACCTTTTATGACACACGAGAAATTAAACCACTTCCGGCGCCAGCGGTGGTGACCACGTGGCTCTGTCGGCTACCACGTGACTGCGATATATCTAAGGCTGCGTTCCGATATTCACTGCAAGTACTGAAAATCTATAATTTACGTAACGGTACACTATAGATTTTCAGTACTGACAGTGAATATCGGAACGCAGCCTAATACTCGAGGGCCGCGGCGTGATGTATCAAATAAATTTGCACGTTTACTATCGGTGACGGATACTCAGGCGTTAGGCAATGATTTTTAAGTGCCCGAATTAAGCACCTCGCGTTATCTCGAAGTGATGTACCCGTCGTTAATATCGCCGTAAATGCGAATGAGTATCACTTAAACGAGCAATCGTAAATCATAGTAGTTGTCTGCTTAAACTCGGAATTAATACCAGCGAAGTTACCGATTTTAGGAGCGCCTTTACCTCGTTTTCTTAAAAAATTTATATACGAACTGCTGCTTGCAGAGCGTAGCTATCTAGCTATCCGTTATCGTCCATTTAAATCTGCGAGTACTCCATCTTTTTATAATTTAAATGTAAAAGTATAATTAAAGAATGAAAAATAAGGTGTTTTTTTTTTTCAAGTCAACTTTTCTTCGAGATTGTATAAAGATATATAAAATATAGATAAAGAATATATATATAAAGATATATTTAAATATATAAAGATATATATATATATATATATATATATATATATATATATATATAAGAATTAAATATGTAAAGATAAGAATTCCAAAATCTGTATGGAGCCGTTAGATTTGATGCCCGCAAGGAGGCTAATCGAATGGCGAGAGAAGCTTTTTGCAGATCATACAAACGACGCGATGCCGGCGCGTTAAACGCCTTCAAGGCCTTTGTAATGTAGACTCAATCACCGTCAATCTGCAGGGTCTTAGCAATTCGTTTCCTCGAACGATCTCAAGCGGCATCTGCGAGTCGCAAAGTATCGCAGAAGCTGAATAAGAACGCCTGATTCAGAACGCTTTCGCTTACGTTATTGATACTTGAAGGAAACTGAAGTATCGATGACGTTGAACATCTTTACCAAAAATATCATCATATAAATATATATTTGAATTTATTATTGAATTTGTCACGTCGATACTCGTGTGGGCAATTTTTTTTACTTGTTTGGAACTTTGAAAATATGCAAGTACAGATGCTTGATCAGAATTTACATGAGTAATCTTTCTTCAGAGGAACTGAAATAATAGTCTACAATAAAATGAAAAGCCATGTTTCTAATCAAAGCAATGGTTTAATAGAAAAATATATGACTAGATTAGAAAAATATATATATGAAAATAATTATAATATATTATATTGTAATAAAATCATTTTCCTTAATCGGGGAACTTGAACAATGTTACGTATAGCCATGTAGAACAAAAAATATATATATGCAATCGTCACCATTATCAGTAACAAAATCAAGTGTCGATGATTTCTTAAAACCAGTATTCTTGATTTACCGAATTCAAAAACAATAATTTGTTTAAACGTTTACCGGCCAGTCGGTTCCTTGACTGGACTGCTGCAATTCCCGTTTTTGAGAACAATCTCTCTGCTGGGATTGATGTGGCCACAATTGATAGATATTTTGTCGCTAATATGTACAATGTGGGATACAGCATCTTCATGCTCTCCCATGTCTTTAAAGGATCGTCCTTCAAGGACACTAGCGGACTAACCAGGTACGAAGACAACTCATCTTTCGGAGGCGTATCTCCTTCCTTGTACGTCAAAAATTTATGATGGATCCAAAGATTGTAGTTGGTTACTTCCTGTGAATTGACATCGAGCTCGTCGGATGAACTAGATAATTTATTTATCATGTCGCGTAACAGGCACGTGGCGTTGGCCAAAGCCTTCTCGTTCCAAAAATGTACGGTCTTAAAGCGGGGATCCAGTATGGTGGCGATAGAAATCAGATTGTCAAACTCTATTTGTCCAAACCACTTCTCCAATTCTGCCAGGATAGTTACTTTCAGATTTGCCGACAACGCCATCGTCAGTTTAGTGTTCAGAGTGTTCTGGTACTCGAGTATAGTGCACTTGATGAGCGGTATTATCTTTGACACCTTGATATAATTTTCGGTCGAACATTCCTGCGCCACGAATTCTAATGGTTTCAACAGATCCAGTATCTCCTTCAACGTTTTTAACTCGTCGGCGGTCGGCATCTCAGGATTTGAAAAAACCACCTTATCGTTTGTAAATAGAACTTTTTCGATCACGTTCGATATCTCGAGAAATCGTTCTATCATGTAGATTGTGCTGTTCCACTTTATATTGGCATCCAAAATGAGTTTCTTTATTTCATCTTCGGATGTACCTAAGTTGATTTGATACTGATACAGCTCGTTAGTTAGCTCGGTGCTACTTTTTACAAATTTTACGACTGATCTAACTTTATTAACGAGGTAATAAAGACCTTCGCAGTTCTTTATAGAGTTCTCTGCCACCAAATTGATAGTATGAGCAAAACACATTATGTGCTTGTCCTGACTAAATATTTGTGTGACAGTACTAACTATATTTGATTCGTTGTTGGTCACAACTGCTACAACTTTATCAATATCAATGTCCCATTTTGTCAGAATACTCAGGATTGCATGTGTTGTATAATCTACACAGCATTCAAGCAATTCGAAAACTGCAATATTTCCTGATTCTATCTTTCTGACTCCATTCGCTTCTATGAAATGTACTGTGACTCCCAAGAAACTTTTGGATGATCCTACTTCGGACCAGGTATCTAAAGTAATAGTCACATGTGAAGCTTCATTCAGCTTTTGTTTGAAAATCTGGGCTACTGTATCATATTTTATATCGAGTCTTCTCTTGATCGCAGTTTTATTAGGAATTTTGTAAAGAGGCACCAGTTTCTTTATCAGATACTTGAATCCCTTACATTGAACGATATTAAGTGGTCGGTGGTCAGCGCAGATAAAATAGAGAATGGCATCCAGTATCTGGGCTTGACAATCACCATCATCTGAAAGATAACTTATATAAAATTTACAAGAAATAAAGCACTTAATTATTTTTATTATTGATGTATATCTATGTATTGATCTCATTCTGTGTTAGTCCCTCCTTTTTATAATTATCCGATTGTCAATGTAAGAACACATGATCTTACCATAATTAGATATTCTCTCAAAAGTTGCAACTTTAGGTGATGCACTCACTTGTATAGGAGGTGATATTGCCTATTACAACATAAACAAGAATAATAACATAGAATTCAAAAAATGTATTCACAAAAGTATAAAACTGATTGATTAATGGCAAAGTACATGTACCTCAACTTTAGTTTCGTAACTTGTTCCAGCTCCAGCTGAAGTCTCAGTGTCAGCGTTGTTTGTCTTCAGCCTGTGACTGCAAGAGAAAGGAGATTTTATAAAATTCGTTAAATATGTATAGCATAAGAGGAAATGTATTATTATTATTATTACAATTTGTAAGTGTGCTCAATAGACCTCTTCCTCTTCATGGATTGCGATTCTTTGGGCTCGTTGTCCTTTCTGTTCGTAGCATTATTTTTGTGTAGTTCCATGTGACGTAGCAGGTCAGAGAACACGATGAATTTGGTGCACAAATTACATTGCGCCATATTCTCATTTATTTTCTTGAAATGACGCCAAATCCTGTTCTTCCTCGTACGCGGCATATTTACGGCAGTTGATGTGATAACAAAGGGCCAATAGAGGTTGGCTATTATGAAAAATTAATGGTTAAAGGTTAGAGGTTAACAGACTTTAGAAATAGTGGCTTAAAAAGTTGCGATAAATATATATCGTTTTCCCTCTTTTTTTCTTTTAGGATTTTTCTATTCTTTTAAAGATACGTTACACTTAACCTATCGTTCTGTTTTCTCCTCTCGAGTCTCGAGAAGTGGCATGAATATTGTGGCGAGCGATACCGAGAAATATCGATATTCGATATCGCCGTCGGTCGAGCACGAACGTGCGAGTATCGATATTCTTAGCCATGTGTTAACTTCAACGCGAACGATGGTTGGTCGGGTCCGCTCGTCGTGACTCATTTCAGGATAAGATAGCCAATCAGAAGTCACGCCGGTATCTGCGAGTTTCCTGTATCGATATATCGCATTCGATATCGCGGAGATGGTATAATAATTTAAATACAATGTTCCATTTAAAAATACAATGGCTGGAAGTATGAGGCAACAAAAGCTAAGTATCCGGTGACACTGAAATAGTTTTTATATTAATAAATTAGACGTCTGGCGAACTACACTTGTTTATAATATTATCTTTAAGAGAGAATATTCAAAAGAATGTTTAGATGCAGGATGCATTTAGAAGCATTAGTATTTCAGTATTTTGCTTTTATATTTTACTGAATTTGTCAGTAAAGTTGCTTCAACACGTAAGTTTTACTGATATGTTAGTAGATTTGCCCAAAAGAATAATCGTCAACAGCCATTATAGCCCGGCCTTATGTATGCGCATGCCAAACTTCACCGATTTACATAATAATATTTTTTTATTCAAAAGCCGACTGCTTAATTGACTGAGATCAAGGCTGATCGATGTTTGAAATTTAAAGTAGACAGTTTTGAGGCCAGCGAACAGACTTGATTTGCAAATCAGCGGTGCTCAGCTGACTGAGCAGCTGGACTAATGATTTGAGGAATGCACGATGACGCACGTGTTTGCGAAACGTGATAGCGTTTGAGCGTGGCAGTGATGCTCAAATTAATATTTTTAGAGACGCCCAAAGATCTTCAAAGGTCCTTGAGTAATTTCAGAAATACTTAGACCACTCAGACTTCAAAATTATCCAGTAATCTTCACGCATTCTTAAAATGCCTCAGATAGTCTCCAATTTTTAGACGTTTTTGAAATTTTTCAGAACTCAATAAGTTTCAACAATTTTGAAGTTTTCCAACTCTTTCCTCGGAAATCCTTAAAGACTTTCAGAGATCCTCTTTTTCTCAAACGTTTTCGAATCTCGTCAGATGTATATTTTGAGAGATCCCTAAGATTTTTAATAATCTCTGCAAGATTCAACGGTGGTATTATTTTTGACGATTACTTTGAAGAGTTTTTTTCATTAGTTCCGGAGATTCTCTGTGGTGCTGGAAGGATCCTTAGAACTTTTCAATAATTTTTAAATATTCTAAAAACATGCGAGAAATCGAGAAAAGACCCAGAATCTCAGTTCACGTTTATGTCTCGTGCGTTATCATCCATTCTATGAGAACCACCGATGATAGCAGGCCGTCCACCTAAAGATAAGGCCCCGAGTCCAGTCCACAAAAATGTGTTTCTATTTAGTATTCATCTCGCTCGCATGCTCGCCGCGAAATAAAGCCCCACTCTCTCGCTATTCTCTCCCTCTTTCGAATGGCGTGTTTTCTTTGCTCAATCGAAACGCAGTGCAAATGCGTAGTTTCGATATAATTTCGCAGTTTTACGCAGTGTTATAGTGAAAATAATTGTAACAATAATGAAGCAGGTAATATCGTTTTGCGTTGAAATCTTAGTGCGTCAAATTATAGCAACATTTTTAAGTACCTACAGGATTTTGAACACTTCGCGAAGAATACATTTAATAAATTAGAATTGCATTTGATAAATTCAATGTAATTAATCAAATCACGATAAAATAGATAGTTGTCATCCTTTCGAGTCTGTACCTACTTGAAAATATAGTTGGAGCTGAAATAACTTCGCTATAGATAGCATCAAGACTGTAGATAATCTCAATCGTCTGCACGAGACATAACATTTTGTTTGAATGAAAAACAGATTTATCGAGTTCAGATATCTCTTCTTTACGTGAAGTAGCTAGCAAAATGTATATAGCTAGAAATAAGGTATGTGAATAAATAAAGTCATAATGAAAATAATTTGCATAGCATAAATGTCTATCATCCAGATCATACCGATCGATCGATGCGACGAGCCAGCGGCGCGTGCTCGCGCGTGTGTGTATATATGTGTGTGCATGACGAACGTCTCGTAGTGCAAGCACCGAATAACAATTAAGCTGTAAAAGCGCGACGATAAATAAGCAAGACGGGTCATCGTCCAGTGGTAGACGAGATTCACGTTCAACGAGCCGTGCTAGAATCGCCATCGCTCATGCACACGCGGACACCATGACGCCGACGTTAGCATCCCGATAGCATTGAAGTATCGATATCATGGAGTATTTGATATTCGTTAAATCTAATTTAAAAGAAAAATGTGTTTATTTATTTCGGACCTCGTCACAGTGCTACTAACTGGTGGTGTCCGATAACTCGTTTAATCTCTCGTTTGTTTTGTGATAGGTATGTTCGAGATAGTTATTATCGAGAACACAAAAGTGTCGTCACTCGGTACTCTTAATGTAGCATCGTAAAAATGCATCTCTCCCTCTCAATTGAGAATAAATTTTACATAAGTCGTCCAATGTGTGGCGTGCGGTAATGAACATCTGGGGAAACACGCTCGTTACGCGATCGATTTTTCGCAAAAACTTCGTCACAGGTTTTCCATGTGATCCATCACATCGTCGGAGCGACCGGTAATCGTCTAGCGTGACTAATGGGACTGGCGAGCTTATACAGACGTTTACCGCGCTATCAGCAAGCATGTAGGAGTCCCTCCTTCGTGAGTGCAGAGCGCGCGTATTATACACGTGCGCCCAGATAGCCAAATGCTGTGAGTTTACTGCCATATTGCCAACGAATTAATGCAACTAATTTTGACAAACTCGGGACAAGGTGAGACAGCATTATGCTTGTCGGGTTGAACTCATATGAATTATATTTCTATTAACAGCAAATTGATTGCAACGTGACAGTATCAATTTGTGAGGGATTTGTGATAGCAGACAACATAACGTACCAATAATGCGGACCGTTTGCTCTTGAATTGCGTCAACTGATTGCATGTATAATCAATCATGTAGCTGCATTTTTAACGTGTTCTATTTTGATGTCAGCAAATTTACAGCAAATATATGAAAACACATGCAATGCATTAGTTTGCTCAATATGCTGTATCACGCTTGGCTATCTGGGCGTAGGTGTATATGTGTAACGAATATAATTGAACGGGTAGGCGCGTGTAAAGAGACGAGAGAAGTGGGAGAAGGAGACGGCGGAGGAAGAGGAGAAGAACGAGCAACAAACATGTCGTTGAGCGCGATTGTTTTGCGCACATTGGACTTTATTGCACTCGCTGCCTTGCCGTGCGAGAGGGACGAAATAATCGGAGGGACGTGGGGCAGACGGGAGAGGGATGAACTCGAATTATTCATACTTTAGGAGAGATTATAAGGCAGTTGAATAAAACGTTTATATATCTGTAAAGGTTCCATCTTGATAAATCGGAATAGCAGATGTATATTTGTACACGTAGTGCACTCAAATATGGTTTGGCACTTATCAAGGTTCAGAGTAGCGATAATGTAACTTTATCCCTAAATGGCGGAAATGTCAAAAATTAAAATTTTCAATTTTGCAAAGTGATCATGTAACTTTATCCCTAAGGTGAAAACGTGACAAGTGAAAATTTATTTCACTATGTGTAAAGTTACATGATCACTCCGCAAAATTGAAAATTTTTACATTTTACTATGTGAAAATTTTCACTTTTCACATTTTCGTCCTAGGGATAAAGTTACATGATACCCAGGTATGAATTTAGTAGTTTGACGTGTGCCTACATGCATATGTGTGTAATATAAATCTAGATATATATCACATATATTAAGTATATATAATTTTATACATGTACGTGTAATTCAGTTTTTTGGTGGAGATTGACGTAATCTACAATTACGTTAAATTGCATTTTAATTTAAGCCAATCTACATTGATTAAGTTATACTAACAATAAGTCGTATTAATTCGTATTATATTAAGAGCCACCTTTTTCAATATACTCTAAACTTCTATTGATTATTCTGAAAACTTAACGGTAGGTACAGATTAACAGATGTTGGAAAATGTGGTCCTATCGTATTTGCCGCCCCGCTACCTCTTGTATATGTGATAAGTAAACTACTCCTTTTTATAATTCAAAAACTGATGAGCTTCGGAGAAATTTTTGGAAAAGGAAAAGTCATCTTGGAATTGCGCGCGTCTGTGTTATTTAGTAATGTAAATAATATAAACCGGCTATAAATACATTTTTGTGTTTGTGTAAATTTTTATAAATATAATGTTTCAAAAAGTGTTATATTTAAACGAAAAAATTTTTAACATAAAAAATTTATTGGAATTTGATTATATTTACTTATATACTGTTATGCCTTATTACACATTTATTTGTTATTTTAATTTTTCTCGACAAAACCGCGTTAGGTTATGTTTGTAAAAATATAGTTTATTACATAAACCATTTTTTTTTCCAACATGGCTTTCCGGATCTTCCGACGTTATAAATATATAGTAGTCCTTAAGGGTCAGTATATTCTCTATTATCTAAATATAGTAGTCAATATCTTGTACTGTTGTTTACATGAAGCCGAGTAGGAGTGGGAGGAAAGGAAGGCGAGAAATGTACTACGCGACGAACAAAATTATAACAAACAACGGTATTTATACATAAAAGACACACACGCACGCACGCACGCACGCACGCACGGGGGTACGGGGGGGCCTAATAATCAAGCGTCTTAATTCAAGCAGTTAGGTATCACGCTGGGAGTTTGTTTAGTTATATTATGCGGGGTAAGGGGCTCCCCTGCCTATTTGTGTACTGTTTATACACATGTACTATACACATGTATTATACACATCCCAGCGAGAAATGACCCATCGAATCGACGTCTAATCAAGTAATCAACGTCGAAATCATGATTAGACGTCGATTCGATGGGTCATTCCTCGTCATTTCTCGCAGGAATGTGTATAAACAGTGCCTGCGGCGGAGCCCCTTTCCCCGCATAATAAAACTAAACAAACTCCCAGCGTGATACCTAACTGCTTGAATTAAGACGCTTGATATTGGCCCCCCTTTTGCACCCCCCCCCCCCACCTCGTGTGTGTGTGTGTGCCCCTTTTATGCATAAATGTTGTTATGATTTTGTTCGTCCCGTAGTACATTGCTCGTCTTTCTTTCCCTACTCGTCAATATATTCTATATAATATATCAAAGTACATGAGGGGGAGGTTAGTGACGGCGCTTTAAAAGTATTTAACTGTTTAAAGCGCGTCAATAATCTATATAGGTGTGTGTGTGTTTTCCGGCATGTCGAAAAAAATAGGTATAAAAATAGGAAAAAAAATTGGTAAAAAAAATAGGTAGGGTGCATATTTTTCAGGCTCCCTTGATTGATTATCACTGTCGAAGTTATAATAAAGGTTTCCAAGAGAGCTGCAAGAAAATATCAATATTCGGAAAGGGCCCTATTGTAAAGAATTACCCTTTATATTATTATATTTCCATCTTTGTTCGGAAAGAGATAAATAATTGATGTAACTATATAGAATTAAAGATAATGATAGAATCCAGACATACGATGTAAAATTCAGTTCTCTCGAAGGGAGATAGGGCGCGATTTTTCAAACACTCCTTAGACGCGCTAAGCAGGTGGATGTTAATGACGATCCCGATAAATAATTCTTAGTCGTCGCATTCCCGCGCTTTCCAGGTCGGTGTGTCTCAGGTTTCCGTGACGACTGAGATAACAATATAACGATAAATAATAATAAACATACCCACACACGCTTGGCGCAGAGCGCCAGTATCCGTGCGAGCCGTCGCGCTGCGCAGATCGCGGATATTCGCGGTGTTTCGTGACGAGTGAGTCGGCGAACCGATCGTTATTGAAAATAAAAAAACGTGGGAGAGAAAAACCGTCATTTAAATGGCGTCGTTGTTAAACCGGTATAAATAGACCGCAAAATGCGGACTTTATGAATTGATAGCCAAGCCGGATCGACAAATATATAAAATTGTGAACGCGGGTTACAGGAGGATTACTTCCCTCTTCTCCTCCTCCCCTCCTGCCCACCTGACCTTTGGATGTGTCGCGTGGCAATTTCGCGGAGGGTCAAAAACGGCTGTACACCATACACAATTTTTCCATCGTTATGCAACACCTCGGACACGTCGATTTACCAGAATCATTATTTTATTGTGTAACCATCTCGGCTGAATTATACATACAGAGTGTTCGTCTTACGTTCGGACAGCAGCTATTTTGCGTTGCTTTTTGCGTCGAAACGACAGTTTTCAGCTTGTACGTTCACTTTCGAGCGCTTGTTATTCAAGGGAGGGAAAAAAATAACTTTTCTATAGAGCCCGTCGTGTTTACGAATAATTCTTTCTCTTTGTCGAGTCTCTCCGATGTTATCTCGAAGCGCGGTTTTTCTTTCCGCGCCTCGTTGAGGGAAAGATGGTGGAGCGGGATGGGGCAGAGGAAGGGGAGAGATCCACGGATCGCTGAAACTGCGGAATTATGGTTTCACGTATAAATAGCAATTATAATAGATTATCCAACAGATTGATAACCGCGCGCTATCGCGAATACATCTCTCGCATTAAGTTGCTCTACGCGGGTCATAAATGATCCGCGGATTGTAAACTTATAATCGACCTTTGACGTCACACGCTCGACGCCACACGATCGTGACGCGGTTCGGAACGCGCTCGCGCGTGTGTGTAATCGATCACGGCTCCGCGGTCTTGATTATTTAATCGCTGTGACGGAACGGAATTCTCTCACGGCTCTCGCAAAGATTTAGATTATTTCGGATGAAAATTGGCGATTTATATACATACATGTAGCTGTCCTCGAGTCGCGCGAAGGACAAAGCCGCGTCGCGTTTCGTGTCCAATCGTCTTTTGAAGATGCGCGCGCGACGTTTATCTACGATAGAGACGCCGCTGATCGAGTTGCGCAATCAAATTTCGGCGCGAATTCCATCGGTTTCGGGCGCGATATTTTATCGCTTCGATTTGGTTTACGTGTACTTTTTTACGTAACTTGTTGTGTTTTTACGTAACTATTTACAACGCTAAAATTACGCGGGGATCGCACCCGCGATAATCCTCTCTATTTATTAAGATTTTTTTCGAGTAACATCGCAACAAACTGACAATTACGGAAAAATTTTCCGGAGTCAAATTCGTTATCGTATGTCTGAGTCTATTTGTGGACGTTGATATCTTGATTAAAATTGGAACCTTATCGTTCGTCCTTCCCGCAAAAGGAAAACGTCGTAGGCCACGGGGTATATCGATAGTCAATCGAACGCAAGCGCCTTCGCTTCGCCCAGTAGCCCGGGGTAATTAGCGGCCGTTGATTGGTCACCTTTGCCGGCGCGTCATCGCTGCGCCTCGCCGACGACGACGCCGCACCGCCGACGTACGTCGCGATGCGGGGGTGGGGGGTTATTTACTCGCGCGCCTCGGCACTTCGCAGGTTGCGCCGATCTCGAGCGAACGGCGTGGCGTTAGTCGGCGCACGATGCGCGTCGTGCGCTTTTTCGTTTCGTGATTCGTCATTCTCTTCGCTCTCTTCCGCGTTCCCTCCTTAACCACCTACCTGCGTCGCCGTTTTCGCGTCCGCAAGCGAGCGAGCGGACGATGTCGTCGCGACGTGTTTTCATAAAAGTTCAAACGACGATCGCGTTAATCGATATGGAGTCGATATCTTGCATCGGAGAGAACACAGACTGTGGGCCTTAAGTCCTAAATAATTCACAAGGAAGATGATCGATTGAAATATGAACATTTCGAAATGTCCCCTAAGAGTTGCGCCTCGGAGCGTGTAACTTAAGTGACGCACGTGACTGCAATGGACGATTTGTGTATGGAGTAAAGGGATGAAAAGGGACGGGCGTGGACCTTAGGACAATTTTAAGAGCGATATAATTTATGAGAGTCAAGTGATGCGCAAACGCAGATTGAACGATTTATAATATCCGATACATCCTGTTGTTGCAAAAAGTGGTCTTAAAGCGACTCGGAGTTCTAGAGCGATGTGGATATTGGTTCGATTTATCAAGAACTGAAAAATCTCTTTTTTTCCTATAGAATTCTTTAATTCGTTCAAGGACGATATTTAAGATTCGACTTAATAATCTCGAATGCGAATGAACACGGAGGAGTTTTAATTCGTTGAGGCCACTCGGTGATTTGTGAGCGATATTTATTTTTGCTGCAAGAGGACAAACCTGATGGTTAGGTCATTACCAACGCGAAAAAGATCCTTGGGAGCCTGATGGCACCCGACCTCGAGAAAAGGCGCCAGGAATTAAGGAGGGGCAGCAGCGGGACCTTGGACCATGTCAACGATTATCCGGGCATGCTCTTACAGCTGAGGTGCACAGGCGGCGCGGCAGATCTTTATCGACATGGTAATTAGAGGTGCTATACGGTCGTGATGTTTTTTTGGGAGCGTCTACATGTTTACGACGTTTACTTTTCCAGTTTTCGTTCGGAAATTCTGAATTCAATTATCTACTCTATTCCCAATGGAGATGTCGATTTTCCGTTCATCGGTATGTTCTTCCATCTTCCTCCCCTCCCCCACTACATTCACTCTTCATGTAACTCGTAGGATTGCTATTAGGATTATAATATAGTCTGGGCCCCAGATCTCTTAAGTATGTTTTTTAATGAACCAAACCGGTTTTGTTAACGAAAAATTAGTCGGTTTCCTCGTGTTTCTTTCGCCTTTAATATTTTTAGGATTTCTGATGTGTGGATGTTGACTTGATTTATCAAAAACTGAGAAGAATCTGCTTTTATAGAATTATTTAATTTGTTTAACGACGATATTTAAGATTCGTTGACCTAATAATATGAAGATTTTCAAATTTACCAGATACGCAAATAAAATAAAAATCCAATATAGGGAATGCATTGAATAATATATTTTTAAACTATTTGAATGAAGTTATGTATACAGGATTTTTATGGTCGCTAAAACACGAAAATATTATTAAAAAGTATTTAAAAAATTCAAAAGTGGATACAATATAAGACGAATGCAAAAAATATAGTATCTGCAAATTGTAACGAAAGTTTATATTGCGTTGCATTCAAGCAGGTCGCAAACGTAGCAAAGTACAATTTCAATTTATTAAGCAAAATAAAATATAACAACACCTATATTGATCTCATTAATTATTATTAAACTCGCAATATAAAGAACTTTTTTACTCAGTTTAATCCGCCCACGTGACACAATAATTATATCAGACCTATGTTCTAAACGTATATTCTATTAAATGTGAAAGGATTAAAATATAATAAATTTGACAATTTATTTGTATTATACGATCGTTCTAATTTCATATTTTCATAGTTTCACAGAAAGTCTTACGATTTCAACGATTTCGAATTATTAATAATTATCTTTAAATTATCAGTTGCGGGCCAGAAACGAATCAACAACAATATTACTTTTATACGTATGCATCCGTATGTTTACATTTGCGGAACAAAATATTTGTCCGATGTTCATATCGCGTTATTAAAGATGATTAGGCAGCGATAAATATTTTTTCTCTTCCAGCAAGTCACTCACGTGCGAATATATTCTTTTCTCACCTCGAGCTCTTATAGAGGTTACGTTCTTTCTCCATTTTCTTTCCACCATACCTATAATCCCCATAAGGACTAAACACGCGAAAAAAATCGCAGCTGAGAATTTTTAAATGGTATTTTAATATTTCCGATAATTCTCAACTGTTACACGTTTAATCCGTTAAACGTGAAAATATTAAAATGTTAACAAAATGGTTTACATGTATTTTATAATCATTTTAACTTCATAATTTCGGCGCAAGAAGCTTTTCATGACTTTCACGATTTGCAAATTTTAATTTTATTTTCAGATTATTAGGTGCGGGCCAGAAACAAATTTATCAATTTGTGGTTGCCGATTTTCTTATATTTTTTCACTTGTATTTTTGTGTCGTAACTCCAATTGTAAAAAACTTTTTCCTTACTTCCTGAGATTTTTGCATACCAGTCTACTTTTCTTCCTTTGAACTCTTCTTCCCCACTATTCATGTCTTCTTTTAACTTTTTTTCTTTTATTCATGTCTGTTTACTTGTTTGCTTTCTTTTGGGAGCTTTCCAGCAAGCGACACAAGTATCGTTTTATCTTTGTTACTCATTACCAAAAAAGAAAGATAGAACAATGCTCGTGTCGACTTGTGTCGCTTGCTGGAAAGCTCCCTTTGTTACTATTCGTCTCATCTAGTGTCTGCCGTCATGCGTAAAAACGAAGTGTGTATATACGGATTTCTGACTTCGTAATTTAACATGACGGCCATTGACTCGAAGAAAAAGGCATAGATATTTTCTCTCCTTACCCTGCAATAGAGTCGAATATGCAATTATTTACCATAAAAGGCAGAAAAGGAGCAGAATAATATCACTGCTTTTAACTGTTTTAGATGATGTACAGAAAAGTATAAGAGCTGCCGAGTATATCTCTTTTATGCTTCAAGTCCACTTTAATCTATAATTTAAGAAATCGAGATAAAATGTTATTTATGATTCATATGTGCCGTAAAATTAATGGCATAAAAATCATAAAATAATCAGAATCACGCATACAGGGTGTCTGATAATTGCCATCTCTCGTACGTACGTAAGTAGAGCGAGTTTGAACTGAATAGAAGAGTCTTTTACTGTTTTGCGAGTTTCTTAATAAGTAATGAAGAATTAATTGACAAAGATCTCTGAATCAGTGCGTCGGCGTCGGTCGGTTCGATTCGGCGGAAAAAAAAACAGCTCAGCGTCATACGACGGTTTGCGGTTGCTACACGCGCGGCAAGGTTTTGGGAGGGGCGTGCAATTTCACGGCATGTGTAATTATAAGTAGAAGTTAATTATAATTAACATTTTAAAATGTCTTAAATTATAGGTTAAAGTAAACTTGGAGCCACAAACATAAAAGAGATATACTCGGTAGCTCTTAAACTTTTCTAGCAACAACAAATAATGCGTAACACTTGGCTGTCTCTTGTCGCTGAATCGCGCAAATGCACGCTTATTTGCAAATTTTTATTAACATCTTATTAATTATTGAGAAACTCGCAGAACGGTAAAGCACTTTTTTATTCAGTGCTAGAGATGGCACGGTAATTACCAGACACCCTGTATACATATATATATATATATATATATATATATATTAAAATACGCGGCATATAAAAATTCCAAAAATAGGATTCTATTCTGTCCGAATTGTACGCAAATTGTAGACCGTCCAAAGTGAGCTTTATAAAGCATGAAACAATAAAGCTTGCGCCCGCGCGCGCATTGTCTCTTTTGCGAGGTTAATGGACTTATGACGAATGTTTTCCCGCACTATCTCCCGCCGGCATTATTATTGTTGAAAATACTCGGCGCGCTAATATCGCGGCCAGTCAGCGAGGAAAATGGCTGCGTGAGGTTCTAGATAACCTTCGCGGTTCTCGATACGCGCTTAAGGGTCGAGACGCGATGAAATATGAGAGCGAGATACAAGGAATAAGCGCGGGAGGAAGTTGATTTTCAGCGCAAAATACGATTAATGCGGACATTAGAAGCTAATTGGTCGATGCCGGATAAAACTAGCGCCGGATTAGGTAATGATTGATTTAAAAAAAATGAAGAAAATACAGAAAATTAATAAATTTGCTTACATCGTTTTTGTCAATTATTAAAATTTCAAAAAAAGGTAACTTTAGAAATTAAAAAGTTAGACAAGCTTGATAGCATTTTTTTTTTAATGTTTTGAACTTTGAAGATATATTAGAAATTAGGAATTAGAATTGAAAATTGAGGATCAATGGCTGAAAAAAAATCACGATTTACGAGTTGAGAATTGAAAAATGAAAAGTCAACTGCCAGACAGCCGGACGTGTCGTTGCAAGGCAAATATTAATGCGGTCGTATTCCTGTCATTGTTTACGAATGTGCTCGTGAATGACGTCATTGATTTCAGCGATCGCACTCGGCCGGAATCGAATCTCAGTGGAGCGTTGAATGAGAAAATAAGAGGACGAATAAAAAAAAAAAACGATAAATTATTTATGCACTCTATTAGCCTCTGTGAGTCTCAATTAGCCGACGAGATTTGTAAGCTGAAGAAGTCTTATTAAAAACATTTATGCAATCGTTGAGTAACAAACGTAATACATACTTGTTGATTTCTTCTATATACGGCGTCCAAGCCAAAATGATATCCGCTCGTAATTGTAAAACTTGCAAGCCCGCCAGAAAATATTAAATAAACGATGTTTATTAAAATGACTATAAAATCATCAACTACAATGTAAACAGACGTTTTGTGAATTATCTTCAGATTTTTTTAAAAATACTTTAAAGAAAGAAAAATAGCGTCAAATGTGACAGACTCATGAATATACTCCGAGGGTGCAAAAAAACGTATACAGACGGAGGGTTAATTAGATTCGTTTGTCGAAAAATCGGACGCCCAATCATTTCTGTTCGCAATCTATGAGAATTCGAAACTCAAAGATACGAGTACTTAGATATTAATAACATCGTAATATTTTCTCTTCTCGTTCCCAATGGGGAACAGAAGTCCATCAAACATAAGAGGAAAAGGAAAATAGGATCTGAATTCGTACCTTTGGGAATTATTAAGAGAGGGGAAAGTCCGAGATATTCGATTTCGAAAATTTAAGATATTCCAAGGTCTCGAGTGTACTGGAGAGATATTATGTAAATATCCGAAAGTGACTGAGGGATATTAGCTCAGTCTGAAAAGTTCGTTAACTTTAATTGCGTTAAACATCGGTAAACATCGTACGCGTGTTGCCAAATACGCCGATGATCCATATATACGACCGTCACCTCAAATTGACACGCAGAACTTCGGCTCGTACTCAATGATCGCTAAAATCGCGTACAAACATGAATACGGGAGCTCGTTAACAAGCGCGGGCGGGCGCTGTATACATAGTTGAATAACGCCTACAATTCGTTGAATATGTATAACGGAGCTGACGCACGCACGCACATACGCACACTGCGACAATTGACTCAATTGGCGACGGATTGATAAATTCGACTAGGTCGAACCAACCAAAACTGGTTTTTCGAGACGAGCATATTTAGCGCGCGACTGACAACAACGCTCTCGAATGCTTATTTTGAGCCGAGTATTTACGATACCATTGTTAATTGTCAACATGCAACTTCTTTTAGTGAATTACTAGGTTTTACAACCAGAGCGAGATCCGTCATCGTTGAAATCTAATTGGGAATATAACTATTGTAATGATTGAAATTAAAGACATCACAGATATAATTATTATTAAGGAAAAATATTGAATTGAATAATTTTGAGATGTATAAAATGTAGATATCTCTTCGAGAAGGTTATCATTTCTATTTAAAATGAGATTTTATTTAAGAAATTATTTATGTGTATATCTTTATTTGCATTTATTTAAAAATAATTCGGCAGAACGAAGCAGAGCAGTCTTCCTAAAATTCTTACCGGAGCATTTTATAATTCACATCAGTGCAGGGTTTTATTTTGTTGATGCCGCTTTCTTATCCAACGACTTATCCACGGGCCGAAACGAAACGCGATAAATTAATATTTACATTGATACAGTCGGTTAATGTTACTGTCTTCGCAGTCGATTAGGACGCGAAGATAGATATTCTCGTCTATCTCTTCGAGAGAGAAATACAATTGTGATATCAACATCCGTTTCTCGTTCAATTTTAAGCAGTGATTTTAATTAATGGTTTTTTAAAGACCGTTTTAATAAACTCTTGTGTAAAGTTTATTATTTATACTTTTATTATTTCTATTTGTATTTAATTACGAAGAGAGGGCAAGTATTTGCTAGAAACTGATATAACTGAAGACTGATAACCGATAACGGGGTTTCTGATATAAGGTTACGTTATATGTGTGCTTTAATTTGCTGTTATTTAATCATTATTTTTTTTTCGATAAAAATCTTCGTTTCTAGTAGAGAAGAATACGCGTGTTTGAAAGACGTGTACCTATCATGTTTTCTTTTTGATTATGGATTTCAGATCCTCCAAGGCCGCGGTACAACAGTTTATGTATATACATGTCACTGACATCGCGATAAAATCGAAGATTACCGAAGTCACAGAAAATTCACGCCGTGTCGTGAATATTAATCGGATAGGAATGCCAATGTTCGTAAATCGAATATCCATCAATAAGCCGTAATTTACTGTTATCCGTCCGAGGATCTTGTCTGGCCCCTTTTTTTCGTCACGAGAATCGTGCTCGCCAATCATCGGAATCATTATCCCCTTATCGAGACTCGGTCGAATAGATACACGATGCTCTTTTATCGATAAGCCACTGTCGCGCCTCTAATCAGTTATCAGTAATCAATAAAATTGATATTTTGCTTTTTTATATTCTTCTTCGCTAGAGGTGCTGTTACACGCTGTTATTACTAGAGTTCCTATAATAAGAGTTAAGCCAATGTGGTGACGATTTTTTATTGGTCCCGTCATATGTTTCAGCCAAGTTAGTGAGAGTGAGACAAGCTGTAAATGGGAATGAGACAAAGCTATCATGGTCGTCATATGTTTCAGCCAAGAAGTTAGTGGGAGTGAGACAAAGCTATCATTTGGCTGTATATGGCGGCGGTTTGTCCTAACTCTTATTATAGGAACTCTAGTTATTACTAACACAAGAACATTCTATAATACTCTGAATTTTATTCAACTTTCTTTTCCTCTGTTTTATTCTCTTATTTTAGGCTCTTAATCTAATTTAATTTAGTCTTTTTTTTTGTTTAACCTCTTTAACGTCCCCTTATTTCAATCTTGAAACATCATTGATGTGCGCTGCAAGATATTGGATGCATTTCAGCTCTCGGGCTCCGTTACTTTCGAGAATTGTCGAAATTGTAGGGCATTGATAAATATATCGCGCTTCTATCGCTGTTTACTCCATTTCTTTCAGTCCTGGTGCCAAGCAGTGCCGAGCTCCTGGAGACTCTTCAGCTCCTTATCTTGACTACTTAAGTAGGCTATCAGAGATGCCATTAAGTGTACACAGACCGAGGCTTGCATTGTCGCAACGAATCGGTCGTCAGAATCCAAGGAGGAGGTCCCAAAGTAACTTGCGCGCGAGAGAAAGGGAGAGAGAGAAAAAAAAGGGACGGATATCTTGCTGAAGTAGCTAGTTTTCGCGCAGCGAGAGAGAAGTTACATAAATATAGATCCGTATAACAGTTATGTTAATTATACCTGGATATTTTTCCGTCGAGTTAAAATCTCCATATGGCTTAGCATACCTGTCTAAACGAAAACTTGAGTATCTCTTCAGACGCGTTTCCAGCTGTCGCATTCTGGATTCACCATCAAAAAATTCTATCGTCTATTTATGAGCCGACACATTTTTTGGGCATCCGCACGATGTCTAATTTTAGAAACGTGATATCTATGGTTCGATCCGCCACTTATCATGGAGTTCGAGAATTCTATTGTAGAACCTCAGTCACTTATATTATTTGTAAAATTCCTATTATTTACCATCTGTGTAACGAGGCTCCGTTCCGAAACTGCAACGTTCGTTTTTTTTTCTCTCGCAATGTTCTTTACATATCCTCCGCGAGTTTTTGATCGAAGATTCATGCAAAATGAATACCGAAATCGAATCAATCGGGCTCGTACGGCGCCTCCCGGATCGATCGGGCATCGATCCGGCCATCCGTCCGTCCGTTCCACTCGTCCTGATGGTAACGATATATCCTTGAGATTCGAGAGGAGAAGCGCCGTAGTTAGCGCGCTCGCGGCTCTGTTTGCCGTGTAAAATAGTAACGATGTTTATCGATCCTGTTATCGAGGGTACATTCTCTTTCTCTCTCTTTTTCCCTATTTCTTTCTGCCTCTGTCGGGGGTTCGAGGACGAGCGGCTAGAGAGACGCAAATAGGCAGGCGGGAGCCCTAATTCCTCTTGGCGAGTACCCTTCCACGCGCTCGCGCTCGCGTCCCGCGGCGCGCGATAAAGAGATACATTCACCTCTGCTCGCAGGTGTACGGAGACGGTTCCTCCGCCGGCGCGGCGTTTATTTATCGGCTGGCGAGATTACCAAGGCAATTAAAACCAGCGTCGCCGCCCACGAGACCTTCGCGATTATTATCTTTATGGCATTGCCGCGCTTGATTATGCAGCTATTGTGGCGAGCCTCGCTATCGGTTATTTGCGAGACATCCGCGGAGCGGGGAGGAGGAGTGGGACTATACGCAATTCTCGAAACAAAATGCAGAAAAATGCAGCCGAGTGAGGAACGGACGGACTGTGCGGAATTTGTAACGTCTGTCTGTGGAATAAAACCGGCGTTCGCTATAGAACTTGAGATGCGGTTTCATAGATGCCTCTTTTTCGCAATGTCCTTTACATTATCGGTAAAATTGGTAGATTTCATGCGAAGAGCGTACGGTGAAGTCGAATTCAATCAACTTGGTGTTTGGAATGGATCGTACAAATCACGGAAACCTGTTGATTATAACAAATGACGCCTGGGTGCCTATCAGTACCTAGAATCGGTTTTCCGTGTACGTACCGTAAACGGATTAAAGACTTACAAAAAATCGAATTAAACTCAGAATTTGTATTTGCTTTAGATACACTGTAAACGCGTATTAGTAATAGATAATTTATAGATAATAAACTTGGTTGACCTTTGCTCCGAACCCTTTCGAGCGATAAAATGAAAAACGGAAGAAAAAAAGTATACTTCCTAGATTTCGACTTTGTGTCGGTGATGCGATAACGCGAATAAAAACGAGTAATGACCGGATGAGATGGAAAATCACGAGATTGGTTAAATATGCTCTCCAATTTGTATTGAGGCGATTTGTATGGAGGAAAAGGGATAATTGTTGCAACTTGACGTGACATAATGATCGGCAATAACGGCGGCAGCGGCATCAGAAAAGGAACGAGGGGAAAGGGAGAAAGCTGAGAGAAACGAGATTGGAAACCGACAGGCCGGGTCGTTGACATCGTTCCGTGATTTTCCTCGACGTTCACACAGATGCATCTCTTTATATGCACGTGTGTACACGCGTCGATTACGTGCCCACCACCCCTTGCAGGCGGTGGAGGGAGACGGGGACGGGAGCGATGAGAGAGGGGGAGGGGGAGAATCGAACCCCGTCGCCACCAGTTGCGTCCGCGATTGCAACTTCACCCCCACGCAATTATCCCGTTCCAGTAGTCGAGGTGGTCTATAGATAGACCGTCCGACATTGCTCTGCCTCCCCCTTCCCTTCTGTCGTCTCACTATCCTTTTTTTCCCTCTTTCACCCTGGTTCTCGGAGTGTTTCGCATCTCCTCCCCCCCCCACCCCCTTCCCTCAAATTTATCTCTCTCGCTCCTCTCGACGATGCGTACGACGCGCCGGCTTTTCACGCCCGACGCGTGAAATCGAGACTTGCAGCACAAGTCGACACAAGCATCGTTTTATCTTTCTTTTTTGGTAATGAGCAACAAAGATAAAACGATACTTGTGTCGAGTTGTATCGCTTGCTAAAAAGCTCCCTTGGTCTGACAACGCTGCGTTGAGCGGTGCTTCTCATATATAAATTTTAGAGGGGTGGTTCGACTTCATTCGGTGGCGAGCAGACCGTTTGAGGGCCGTAATGATTCCACTGATCGGTAGTATATACCTCCGACAATTTCAGCGTTTTGGATCCCGGGGAAGTAGGGAAAATTCGCTGGAATTTTGAAATTCGAGCAAATATTACTTTTATAGAAATGGGAGGTCTAAAAATTAATGCATTTTTATCCTATGAAAACTCGATGGATTTGAGAATTTGAAGATTTATGATTTTTATGGTTTTGAGTATCTGAGGATTTGTAGTTTTTACGGTTTTGAGGATTTGTGGTTTTGGTAGCTTCTTTTGAGAAGATTTATGACAATCAGACTAACAAAGAATTTATGAGGATTTTATGATTTACAGACCTATCTTTTTACCCCTATTGCCGATTTCACGTATCTATGTTTGTCTCCACATCTGCTATTTAAATTTCTCTTCATCTCATTTCAAAACCAGTGAAAGACTGGACTTATTGGAATAATGAAATTTGATTTGCAGGTAGCAATGCAGGAGATGCGTCGTCAACGGTGACAGCATCGTCCGTCTCGAGAAATACTGCAGGTAATCGCGCCCACTCCGCGACTAGGAGGACGGTTACTAATCAGCAGCGACAGCAGCAGCAAACCCCACAACAACAGCAGCAGCAGCAACAACAACAACAGCAACAATCAAAACAAAGCAGATTTCCATTGTCGTCCTTCGGTGGCGCAATTGCGAGAAGTTCTGATGAACACGGGCTTAGGACCGGTACGACGCAAGACGACAATTCAAACGATTCCGGCCTAGGTTCCGAGGAACGTCAACAGCACTTCAACAACGTCAATGTTAGTATCTGCTAATGATAAATAAGATCCTGCAAACCGAACGATTTAATTAATCTTATTTGCTTAGATTATATATTGTAGATTAACTGTCTGAGTATTTACTATATATAAAAGCCCAGTATCTTTTGTGAAAGGACTCTAGGCTCTATAATATAGAATTCTAGTATAGTAGAGTATGTTTTTTTAGAAGATTTCAGGGGCCCGTAAACTTGTTTTCAAATTTATTTATAGCACGACGAAAATTTAAGAATAATGGAAACCTGAAGCTATGAAAGAGTGTTGAGTAATGTCCAACGCTTTTGAAAAGATTGATAGAATTTTCAAGAGTCCGCAAGTTACTAATCGAAATTTAATGACACTTTCGCTTCCGATATATCTCTCGTTTTGTTTTCTTTTTCTCTTTGCTGAAAGATGGGAAAGTGAAGAAGAAGAAGATGAAAGAGTTGACGGGCCTCTCATGTGGTCCGTGCGCTTTCCTCACTCTTGCTACGTTTACGGCACTGAGTCACCCTGTCGTTAGAAGCCAGATGAAGTTATTTAATGTGTTCACGAGGGTACGCGTGATCATCATCAATATCGTCATCGGAGATCGCCGACCGCTCGAACGGTAGTTGAACCCAGTCGAGTTCTGATTCGTTAAATTAAGCACACAGACGCTCACGCACATATGGGGTGTTCCCGTTATTCCCGGTCACTCAGCTCTTTTCCATAGTATCGGAAAGTGATGCCGCGTTATTAAAATATTTAATGTCGAGTATTTTTTAATGATTTAATTTTACTTAATATATGTAAAAGAACAATTTACTTTACCCAAAGGTTAAAGAATAAAACTGAAGTATATATATTTGTAACCACTTTAATCATTAAAACAGAAATAAGTAAACTGTTTGTAAATTGAAATTTTTTATTTGATAACTATTAAATAATCGTTCTATTCATATATTTACACTACTGTTAAGTATATTATCATTAAAATAAAATTATTATTATTATTAATATTAATGAAGGAATAAATAATAAAAGAAAAAAAAATCTTCCTTCCAAATACATTTAATTTACTTCACGGTTCGATTGTGGAACACGAATGGTAGTCGTTGATTTATTTCCAAAGTGACAACGATTTTAATTCAGTTCAATAACCGATTTTAATTCAGTTTAATAGCCTTGATGTTTTTGTCGAGTGGATATTTATTGAAATAAAATACCGAGTTAGTTATCGCTAGCTTGTTAAGCATAGCCAAATTTTGTGTGTATGACGTTTCAGGTTTTAGCACTATCTCTTTCATCTGCTGATTTTTTTATGTATCCAATCAAGAATAATTTTTTAAATGAATATTTAATATGAGACACCTTGTATATACATAGATTGATTAATTCCGCGATTACTTTATCAGCTCTGGAACGACGCCGGCGAGGAGGATTCGAAGAGAAGGAAAATGGACATCAAATTAGAGTCCGAGGACGCAAACTTCGCATTTCCAGAAGTAGCCCCGGGAACCAGCCCTGACAATAAATCACCGACGGTCAGAACCACCGTTAATGGGATAGGTTTGGGAGGAGTATCCAGCAATAGATCCGGAAACGCTAACTCCATAGGCAGAGTTGTGGGAGTAACCAGACCTCGACCCGCCATGGGTGTGTTGACCAAAAGGACTCCGATCACTCATCAGGGACCTGTCACTCTCGTCTCGCAACTATGTACGTCTTTAGATAGGCGTAGAAATAAATTTTTTAATCATAAATTAATTAAATATTGCGATAGGAACAAGTTCAATTCTAGGTTTCTAAGATAGACCGGCAATACTGAATTATTTCTAGCGATTGTTTTAATCTTTTCGAGTCCTGAACTCTTGACTTTATAAACCTTTGCTCTTTAGAGATTACGTGAATTTGTGTCTTGGGTTTTCGATTCTTATACTTTTACAACTGCGAATTCTCAGATATTAACGATTTTGTGCGCTTTTATTAAGAATGAGATAATCCAAATTTTTATTTTTTAAGCAATATATTCACGATCTTTACGCGCAACTTAAAATTTTCAAGAAATAAGTCTTGCCGCGCTGGTTGATGCAATCATACAAAAATATCACATTTTCTTCTGCAACCTGTTTATATTGAATCTGTTCAGTATCAGTTAAGGTAATATCAACAAAAATCTCGTGCACTTTATTGCATCTCATAAACTCAGCCGCTTCTAAAGAGTTTGTATTGCTTGAAGTTTGTCTTGCCAGAGAGAAGGGATGAACAATTTGTTGCTTCGAAAGCCGCGTTGTCGAAAGCCTTCAATATTTTGTAACAAGAGGAAACTCATTGGTGGATTTATTTCCGGCAAAATTATTATTTTGTCGCTTTCACCGCCGATAAGCTATCTCTTTCAGTTCGAGAGCTGACGCTTTCTTTTTCACTTTTTCTTGCAGCGATAAGAAAAGAAGACAACATTAATATACGCGAAATTTGATACTCGCTTTTTGATATCAAATATAGGTCAGACCATTTATTTATAATCCGCGCATGTTGGAGCAATTTGTTTCGTCATAGACAATTGAGTAAAAATAGATAATGGACATGTGTCATTCTTATTTTTTGATTAAAAAATTAAACTGTTTAACGATGGATTTGTTAATGATGATATAAACTTTGCAAAGTGATTTATTCTAAACTTTTAAAATTTGAAGTTAAAGTTTTGCAGTTATAAATTTTTGAAATCTAATATTACCTGATAGTTTCTGTAGAAAACTTGTTTTAGGTTTGTTCCGAATTTTTGAAGTTTGAATATTTTAAATTTAATATTTGTATTTCATGGACGACTCGAGAATCTCTATATATCTTCTAGATCTCCAAATAGTCAAGAATCTCTACTAATTTATTACGCGTCTAGTTTGCTCTTGGATAATTTCCAACATAATATATCTATCTTCCTTTGGCGTTTCTTCAACAGACCAATGGTAAACATTTCACTATCCAAAGATCTCGGCAATCTAACGGTCTTTATTTACGCACACCTGCATAAATTACTCCTTGACCTGCCCCACTCCCCAGACAAACCCACGCAGCCATCCCGATCTAACATTGTGTTTACGGTGTTGTCTGATCGCCAGCCAACGTTTCCGCCGACGGTAAAACTCAACTGCAGATCGTCTGTCAACCCGAGCAACAGCACCGAGCTCGCTATCAAACGGAGGGCTCGCGGGGTGCGGTGAAGGATCGTAGCGGGAATGGCTTTCCTATCGTTCGACTGATCGGTTACGAGAAGCCGACGACTCTACAAGTGTTCATCGGCACTGATCTCGGCCGAGTGGCGCCCCATATGTTCTACCAAGCCTGTCGAGTAAGCGGCAAGAACTCCACACCCTGTATGGAGCGGAAGATCGATGGCACGATCGTGATAGAGATTGACATGGACCCGGCGAAGGATGTTACCTGCGACTGCGTCGGCATTCTCAAAGAGCGTAATGTTGATGTCGAGCATAGGTTTCCTCAAGAGGCCGGATTGTTACAAGGAAGAAGCAAGAAGAAATCCACGCGATGCCGCATGGTGTTCCGCACGACTCTCACGCACACCGACGGGACCACAGAGACGCTGCAAGTCTGTTCCCAGCCGATAGTCTGCAGTGAGTTAACTAATACAATAGCAATGTAACTAGAGAGATTGATTAAGACAGAGAAAGAAAATAAATTAACGAGATAAAGAGGATGAAATTGTAAAATAGATAAGATTTGAATTCAATCAAGAACGTTCATGATCTCTTCAGTTTTCTTATAAAGTCATTGGTCTTGTATATTCGCAGCTCAACCACCTGGGATTCCGGAGATCTGCAAAAAGTCTCTGACGTCCTGTCCGTGCACAGGCGGGTTAGAACTCATCATACTCGGTAAGAACTTTTTGAAGGACACCCGAGTAGTCTTTCAGTTAGACAGCGACGATCTATCGAGTAGCATGGAACCGCCCTGGGAACGCGCTGTGCTACCGGACAAGGAGCACCTGCATCCGGTACACTTGGTATGCGTGATACCGCCTTATCGCAGGCAGGATCTAGCGCCGACGGAAACGATTAGCGTCAGATTGTTCGCGGTGTCTTCTGGAAAAACCAGCGAACCGCATACTTTTCTTTACACAGCTGCCTCTACTCCCCCGCAGCCATCCATAGGCAAAGTCGAATCCATCTCACCCCCGTTAACAAACGGTGACGTTAGCCTGGCGACGTCCTCCGCTGCTGTGCCGTTGACCACGGGCGTCGCATCCAGTAGTAAGTTTGATTGTTGGATCCTAGATATTCCTAGATTTAGATTTCTTAAATTTGCATGAGGATCCTACATGATTAGGTGTTTTAAATCTTAGTCTTATACATATATTTAAAGTTACATATCTAATATTACATCTTTAACTTCCTACATCTTGAATTCCTTTATTCTCTCTAAAAATTTTTTTTTATGACATTTTTAGAAATGACTGAGTGTGATGTATTTGATATTTATCAGGTTTATTAACACAAACAGCCGCGGGAGCTGCAAGCTTTCTGTCAAATGCACCGGCTCAGTCGCAACAAAGCGCCTCTCCAGAAACTCTGAAGAGCGATCCCAGTCCACCACCGACGGGAACGTCTCAAGTGACCCCTGTGATGCTATGGACCTCATCACAATCCTCAAACTCATCTCCTGATGTCATGATGCCACCCCCGGTGCTTGTGGCAAATCCTCTAATGAACCGACGATCCTCGTCCAATCTTCAGCTGATCCTGCCGGATAACTTAAAAACAGAAGTGCTGGATGAAAACAGTCAGAATAGCATGCTGAGTGACAATAGCATGCAAAGCATTCCGACGCCGACGACGGCTGCAAACGGACCGACGTCGATCGCCTCTCCCCTTCAGCAGTTGGTCAATGAGAACTCCAGAGAAGCTGTATCCTCGCAGGCTGATATTATTAGAACCGTTGCCGTTGCAACGACCAATAACAGCCCCGTGCAAGAAACTGTGAGTGGTCTTCTCGGAGTGGTGGATCTGATACATACTCAGCATCCTCTGTCAATGGTGAATACACATCATCAGACTTCGTTTGGAGGTACGTATCTGTCGTGGGTTAGTGGATGAATAGAAAGTATTTGATTTATCTGAATGCAAGTAGATGATATTCGATAAACTTAATCACAGTAAAATCCTGATTATTTTTATTTTTAAATCTTGAATTTTTGATATTTTTAATTAATAAAATAAATTTCTTAATTGTTGATTGTAGGTATGCACGAGTCAAATCAAGTTCTTAGTCCTCATCGCCTTAAGGACACAAATAGTGTCTTGTCAACGGACAATAGCTCCAATGGAGCTCCCCTTCAAGGTGCCGGCGTAGTGGATCTTCGCATGAAACACCACCATCATCCCGACTTTGGCACGCTGTCGAGTTTCACCGGTGCTTCCGGGACGCAGTCGTTGTCAGCGTCGAACAGTCATGTGGTGGAAAAGTACCTGAATCATATGGAGTCTTCGGTTGGCACCACCGAGGAATCTGATAATCCAGAAAATCAGTTCGCTATTCAACAGCAGCGGGGTTCCATTATCTCGGGGAGCGGCCAACAATCGACGGCTTCCCCGGGAATTTTAGCCAAAACAGGTACAGTATTGCACAGAAAATATTTCTTTATGTAATAAAACCATTATTAAGGGGGGAGAACGCATAATCTCTTTATTTTATTATAATTTTGAAGATCAAATTACAATTTCGAGAATATAAGTACATTTTATATAGTAAAATATATATATATATTTTAGGACAAAGTTCAGTAAAGTTGGATGTTTTAGTAAACTCCGCAGAACAGATGATCTCTCCATTGCACTCGGTGAATCCCAATTCCACCGCAATGTTGAGCCAAGTGGCAGTAGAACACGAGCCAATGGGTAGCGGCCAACAAACTAGAACTAGTCCACCGATTCCGATGAAAACGATGATACTAGAAGCGCTGATCCAGTCACCGTCACAGACGGTGCAGCCAATGACAGAGATTGCGGGTACAACGTCGGTAACGCCTGCAACGACGGTAGAACAAACAGGCGACAGTCTATTAACTACCATCAACGCAGCACTATTACCGCAGTTGCCAGAAACGCAAGTTAACGCGGCAACCGCCACGTCAAATTCTACGGTATTTCTTATCCGAAAACAAAAAAGATATAAATTGGACGAGAAAGTTAGTAGCAAAAACAAAATTTGGAATCTAATAATAAAGATTAGAATATAATGAGGAGTAAGACTAATTACGAGCAATAATAGATGTTACAACAAATTCATATTATATCTTACTTTATTGAAATATTGACGTTTTGTACCGTACTAGGACTTCATCAGAATTGTTAATAATAAGCGAATAATTAAAGTACGAACATATATAGAGGTCAAATTTAACGCGATCGATCAAAGTACGAATATATATTAAGGGTCAAATTCAACGCAATCGATCAAACACGGAAACATTCTGTGTTTGATCGATTGCGTTGAATTTGACCCCTAATATATATTCGTACTTTAATTGATTGCGTTGAAGTTGACCCTTATATATGTTCGTACTTTGATCGATTGCGTTGAATTTGACCCCTATATATGTTCGTACTTTAATTATTCGCTTATTATTGACAATTCTGATGAAGTCCTAGTACGGTACGAAACGTTAATATTTCAATAAAGTTAGATATAATATGAATTTGTTGTAACATCTATTATTGCTCGTATATTGGTCTTACTCCTCATTATAGCCTTTGCTTCAAACGAGCGGAAAATAAGTTTCTTAAAGATTAGAATCTCTGAAAAAAGTTCCTAATTTCTTAGAATAAAATTTTGAATTTTAAAATAAAGCTTTATAATTTAGAACAGAAATTTTTTTAATTTAGGATAAAATTTCTTAATGCAAATAAATGAATGAATATAAAACATAAATATAATATATTCTTTCTATTTTTTTTTTTCAGGTTCCTGGCAATGCGATGCCGGCAGTCGCGGCAGATCGTATGCAGCAACAGATGCAAGTACTCACGCAACAAGAGGTAGCCGTCATGCAGCAACAGGTACAACAAGTGGAACAAGTAGTGGCGCAAGCGCAGCAACAAGTTGAACAAGTTGTTGCGCATGCGCAGCAAGAGGCGGAGCGAGTGGTACATCAGGCGCAGAAACAGGTAGCCCAGCAAGTAGTGCAGCATGCTCATGTGGTGCAGCAAGCAGTACAACAAGTGCAAGCTGTGCAACAAGTCCAAGCGGCTCAGGTAGTGCAGCAAGCGGTGCAGCAGGCGACTGAAGAAGTGGTGCAACAAGCGGTACAACAAGCAACGCAGGAAGTAGTGCAGCAGGTTAGTGGTAATTTTATATATATTTAATTTATTATATAAGATACGAAAATAAATGCAAACTTTCAAATATATGTATATATAAATTGACTTTGGAAAGAGTTCTTATGCTTCTCTTTTTCATTATTTATTAGTTCTTAAAAATTATGGTTCCAAATTAGGTTGCAATAATTGATGTCATATAAAAAATGTTTCAGGTTCAAGCAGTGCAGCAAGCTGTCCAACTGGCTCAAGCGTCCCAAGCTATGCAGCACGCTGTTCAGCAAGACATTGGTTCTATGTTGAACCAACCGGCGGGCTTTGTGGTCGAAGCTAGTTCTGTTTTGGCTAGCGGGGCTGCTCAGGAACCCTCTCAACAGCGTTTAACCAACGCAGCGGAGCAAGCCATCAACAATGTCATCACCAATGCCACGAAGGATATTATTAACAATCGGCCGATCACGGCAACCACTGCTGTTGCGATCATCGCCACGAAGAAAATCCTGAATACCGTGGCGACTCAAAGCGCGCAGTTGATGAATAACACGATGGAGGTAATCCTGCCGAAATCTCCCCAGGCACAAAACAACATCATCGAACAGGTCGCCAGCAAATCGCCACCGCAAGTCGCACTTCCAGTTACTCCAAATCGCCAGGCTGTGAATACTCCGATTTCCAATCCTGCCGCAAGTACCGCGTCCAACAGAAAGACCGAGGATGGAATGTTGCCTCAAGAACTCACCTCCATGTCGGAACATGATCTTCTGAGCTACATCAATCCCCACTGTTTCGAGCAGCTTCCTCAAAGCGGATTTCTCTTGTAGTACCATCGTGTTTCTCAACAGAAGCAAAGGGGATGAGTTTTTTTCAACGAATTTATTTCCAAATGAAAGTTTAAAGAATCTGCCTTCCGTGTCCTGCATTTGGTGCTAAATATAGCCGGCTGGTTTTAAATTTCACTTGCCTTCTATTGAAGAGTCTTGAAAACATTTTATGGAGCTTAGACTAGACCGTAACTAGCTAAACGTGGGATACAAGGATTCAAGAATGTTTGAATAATTGAAACGTCTTGTAGATAGTTATACAATGTTCTTTTTTGGATCTTTGAGTTGTTTAGATTTGTTACTGTGCAGGATTAATGTTGACTCGGGGTTACAAGGCCATTGCCTTGATCCAACGCTGATAATTCTATGCCACATTTGTAGTGTGATGCGAAACCCCTTTTATAGAAGGGAAAGTAGAAGTGCACTATGTCAACTTTGGGTCTCAGCACATTTTTCTAGATTCCTTTTTCAAGTTCTTGTAGTTACGGATTTTAGAATTCTTAATCTCCGAGTTATTGGATTTTCTAATCTCAATTCTTTCGGTACGGCAGAATCCAGCTGAAAAACATTTTTGCTAGACGGACGTAGCACGTTCAGTAGCACATTTAGTAGCGCATAGCTACTATAATATGCGCCAGAGGATTTCGCGCATTTTTAAAGAATATTTTCATATACTCTTCAGATTGGTCATCCTTCATGCCGAAAGGGTTAGCAATTTTATCCGGTTTTACAATAAGATGTTATTATTTGATTATTTATTCGAAACATTATAAGAAATTTGTTAATGACCCAAAGTTTTCAAAGATACTTCCTGATAATCCTGTGATTCACGGCAAAGAAACGCCTAAGTCCACAGCAGCAGATCGTCATAGGTCGAGAACTATTAACATTTAAGTATAAGACGGGCGCACGAGAAAGCGCGACAAATTCAGATGTTCTTCTCTTTCACACATCTTTCTTTCTTTCTTTGTATGTTGTATCTTTTCTATGAATTGTCACTCTTGGCGATTCGTTATTTATCTTCAACGATGTATTATGCATCTAGATACGTCGCATATTATCTTGTGCTCTATTTTGATCTATATTGAATTCTTTTTATTTGCAGGACTCACAGAATAGTATGTGAATAATGCAAATGTAGAGAAATATATTGTAAAATATGTTCAGATAATTAATTAATCTTCAGACGTCGCGTTTCAAAACTAAATCCCAGATACAGTATTGGGATCCAACAAAAGCGTTTTAGAGCTAATTAATTGTTTAATATTGATTAAAGAAATTAAGAAGCTAATTGAAAAATACGCGAAGAAGAATCTGGCCAGTTTAATTTCTCGAATCTTGGAATCTTTATTTTCAGTTTTTGCAAAATTTAAGAAGAAAAGTGCCGGAACGGGTGAGAACACATGCGTAAATTATGTGAAATATGCGCTGTTGTAATTATTATTGACTTGATTTCATTGCGAAAGGATGGATCATCTCGTCGCTGTGGTCTCCACATGTCTCAAGTATATATTTCGTATATTTAGAATATGTATATTGTTCGATAATCGAAGTTATTTTGTTTTCTTCTTTTTGTTATCTAGTACATTGATAATGATGATAGAGTTACGTGAATGCATTAATGTTGTCATTACTTGATACAGGAATAGCAAAATAACAGGGAATGAAAGAGAGAATGAGAGATTATGTTGTATGTTGAAGTAGTCTATATGTATAGATATATATAAATATATATATAAAATATATATATATAAAATATATATATTTTTTACGTTTATCCAAAGAGAACGAGAGGGAGAAAAAGAGAGAGATAGAGTAGAGAGCGGGCTAAGTAACAAAGTGAGCTTATTAAGGATATATGTTCATATAATTATTATATATCGGATGTAACTAAAGTGCGTCACGTGGCTTTTTAACGAATATACTTTCTTTTCTATTTTTTAGATTTCCTATACAAGTCCTCAGGGCACATTGATCACGTAATCTAAACTCCAATTTTTGCTTATTCTGATTTCGCGCGAACCTTTGAATCATAGAACAATTACGGTTAAACATTTACATGATGATAATGCAAAATTACGTGATCGCGTCCAGATTCTTAATTTTTCGGATTTTTAAGGTCAACAAACATCATTAAAATTATCAGATCAAGAATATATCTAGATTTTCAGATTCCTAAAGCCTCAAATTTATCGAAGTCTTAAAACTTTTTGTTTTTAACTTTTAACTTGCTAATTTTTACTCAGGATCCTAGAAAATCCTAGAAATATATTATTCTTGAATTTTAAGTATTACTGATCTATATTTCTAGATGTTGAAAAATTTTTGAACCATGGACTTTTTTGAGTTCACATTGTTTCAATATTTCGCACTTTAGCGATATCCCGTGTACGTATATCGCGACATCGAATTTTTCGGGGTAGTCCCCACATGTTCAAGACGAGCGGTGCTAATATTCGCCAAGATTATGTAGCTAGTAGAAGAGAGAGAGAGAGAGAGAGAGAAAAAGAGAGATTTTATAACGAAAAATATAACGAAACATTTATTGTCGCGACAGCCACATGTCCTTTGTAGCCAAGTATATATATACATATATATATATATATATGATATATTTTATATTGACCGTTATAATGTGTCCGTAGTCGCACGCAATGACTAATGGTTCGCCTCTACAGGGAAGATAACTTGTGTACCACTTGCGATATGTACCTCGTGAAATTGTCGTAAACGTGTGCTCTTCTCGTTGTACGCACGTCACTGATAACAGCCTAACTTCGACAGAAATTCGTAACAATGTATCATTATTTACTCCTGTAAGTTTAATAAATGTTTCACAATGATATTCTCACGCGCATTCCATTTTCTACATGTCTCGCTAAGAGGTTCCTAATTTCAATAACTTAATTTGAATTTATACATACATATATGCATACATGACATTACATGATGCAAATTTAAATATATATATATATATATATATATA